ATCTACAGTTCTCAAGAGTCAACGTCGACTGAGACAATTTGGATATAAATCTTCTACTCCGAAAACTGAGAAACAAAATAAAGACACCAAAGCTCACCTGAATGACGCGACAGTATCCTACGAGACACCGAAGAAACACCCTTGACAGACTTGAGTTGCTTGGAACCACCATTCACGGGGCTAACGGAAGCACCACTTGTTACAGCACCACAAGCACAAGTATCGCACTTACTGGCACTTCTGGTATCACATTTACTAGCACCCTTAGCAGCACCTTTGGTAGCACCAGCAGCGACACCCACAGCAGACGATGTTGCCGAAGGTTTGATAGCAGACGATCCTGCCGCTGAACCGTTGACAGCAGACAACCTGGGCACGTAATTTGAATCAATGGTAGCAGACGATCGGTCTGCCGCAGAGTGCTGCGGCAGCCGTCGTTTGAGCTCTTCGATGACGCGCAGGTTATCGCGTATTCGCCGCAGCTCCCGACGGTATTCGCTGATCCAGTCCGACTGTTCGGCGTCTTCGTCGTAGAGCTGATCGGGGAGCAGCACGCTAGTCATGTCCTCCCGACGAGCCGGTACGGAACGACGGCGCTCGCACGGCCACGGCACGTCGAAAAACGGGATTTCATCCTGCAGACGTTCGCGCGTAGACGCTGACTGGCGTCGTCTGCTCGCCGGAAAGGTGCCCGTTTCTACCGCTAGGTGATGCTCCGTTTAGAGACGCTCCCTTTTCTTCGGAGGGTGTGGACAACTCTTCGGCGCCCCGCCATTGTTATGCCAGGCAAGGTTAGGTTCGGCGTTTGCGGTGATCTTTGTTCTTCGCGTTGCATCCGCTTTCAAAGCATACATCACGATATCTATTTGATCTTTATATAGCAATATTACTGATCAAGATTGAATAAAAAACTAATCTTTTCTACACGATCCGGTAACTAGAAGTAAGCTGCTTGTGCAAAAAGGTTTGGAGTACATTCGACAGCTGTCATATTTTCGAGGTAAAAAAGAAATGCTTTAAGCTCCGTTCACCGTGACAAACAACCTGGCGTACCGACTTTTCTGTCAGTACTATGAGCGGAAAAACATCAGCAAGATTCACTCCTAAACGGGTGTAAAATGCTTTTATGACCCTCCGAGGGATCTTGTTTACGTTTTACACACCATGCCTGAGGGAGTTATCCAGGGATAATCATATATCGCTTTTATGACGCCGATGGATACGCCGAAGATAAGTTAGGCTAGACCAAGACAATACAAAAAAAGTACACAAGAAAATATTTTATCTTTTCCTTGCTAGCATATGATATGAGAAGAGGTTCGTAATATACAGCGTGGGCGAAATGGATTGAACGCACTCTAAACTGAACGCTAAAATCGGTTTCTTAACTTTTCCTGCTGGGATTTACAACAGAGGTACTCGAAGCTGGTGCATTCATTAATTCAGAGTATGAATACATGAAACCTCCGGAGTCAAAAGAACGAAAATAAAAACTGGTTTTGTCGGTGGAAAAATTATGGCTAAGCCTTTTATCTCAAACTCGTCGGAAAATCGTTGTGGGCTATTCTAGCGTTTACTACGATTGAAAATTTTGTGCAATGGAAAGAAAACAGAACTGGCTTACCTATTCCTCTCTTCATTTGGCCCAAGTAAGCGCCAGAGAAACACATAGTATTTTTGTTTTTAGTGGACATGCAAGGTATATGGAAAACATAGTTTTTGATTTTTCTTGATTTACTCAGGTGAGCCAATCTTTCCACAATTTTAGCGAAAGCTTCCACCAACTTCAGGCACCTCTGTAGTAAATCCCAACGCGATAAGTTAAGAAGCAGATTTATGCGGTCAGTTTAAAGTACGTTCAATCCATTTCGCCCACGCGGTACATACGCACCTGATACGCAGACTACACCGCTGACGCGATGAACGCTAACCATTGCTTACTTTTCCTTTACTCTGTCAAGCGTGTACAGCCGACACGAACACTTTCTCATACGGTTTACCAACAGCTACGCTTTCTTAACTTTCCTTTGGCAGCTCCTGGAAGCCTAGCTGTCAAGACTCGCAATAGCAGACGATCACGCCGTTGCAGACGCTCTTTTGCATCTTTAGTTTCGTTGAGCTCGTGCGCCGATGTTTGCGCGTTTGTTCCTTCGCGACATAGCGTGACCCGTCTTGATACGAAGGACCGCACCAAAATAAAACCAAGACGCCACACGTACGATACACATAAAGACAATACAGCGTAGTTGCCGCTACAGCTGCAAAGAAACTTGTTTCGTTTGTTTGTTACGCCTTGCGTTTATGGGATATGACAGTTCCGACATGCCGCAGCTTGAAGTGCATCTAAGGCTAGAAACAAGCAACAGAAATTTAGAAACTGGTTTTACGTTTTCGAAACTCTATGGTGCTACAAGAAAATAAATGCGGAAGTGCATATATTTGCATGCTGTTCGCTACATGAGGCTCTTCAAGACCGAATGTTGCGTGGCATCTTTTTTAAGATATCGTTCTTTTTTTTTTGTGTGTGTGTGTGTTTCCTCCAATTTTTGTATGTATGTTTTTACGATTTTGGTATGCCCGGTTCTAGTCAGTATTTAACTCTACGGTCCTTTTGAATGGACATAATAATAATAATAATAATAATGTTGCTGTGTATATGTTTATAAAGCCGGAAGTTAGTCAGCCTGAATCGGCGTCTGGTGACTCAGCTGTAGATGAGAAATTTAGCCAATGCAGTACTACCGCTAGCCTTACGCAGTAGTGAAACACGACCGCACGCCGGTACGATGCTCATCCAAATCGAAATGGGCAAGGATGGAGATTGAACCCAGTCTTTGGTATGGCGACGAGATGTTTTGGTGGCGCCACCTCGTGGGCGCGCTCCTGTGACGTAGTGGGCAGGATGCGAGCAGACGCGCTATGTAATAGCACGGAGTGGCTAGGTTAGTTCGCATCTATGCCAATTAAAAACAGTTTATTTATTAAAGAAACGTGACACAATGTTTTTGTCCAGGATCTTTCTAAAAAATAAAGGCGCCCAAAAATGTTTTTCTTTTTAAACAACAAAAAAACTTTAAATGTGTTTAAAAACAAGCATGAGGTTTCACACTACAGCTTGCGCGGAGCGCCTAAGGGGCTATATTCAAAGTCTCTGATTAGTGCTTTTTCGGATCTGTGGAGGCTCCCGTGGAAACAAAGGTTTCGCATTTAGCAAAGTAAATGGGGTCCTGTCATCATAGCTGTGCATGCGCGCAGTTTTGTTGCAAAGCACCGCACACTTGTTTTAGCTACATTCAGCTTGCCGACCGACGCTTCTATCTAAGTGTGACGAGACAGTTGCTGACGAGCAAATGCTCGTCAGCAAACGACGCTATCGAATACGTGGCAAAGAAGTTTATCGCATCGTCACTTCTGCTTAAACGAAAAACAGAAAGTTTCATAACTTCTTAAATTCAGGTGATTTATTAATTTGTTCTATCCAATATTTACTAAGAATTGTTTACAAATTTAAAATCGCTCGGCTGAGAAGCGCATCACGCATTATGCGCCAATCTTTGGGTCCGCAGGATTAAACATTCAAACGGTGGTAATTCACAGCAGATTATATATCGTAATTTTTCGGGTGTCACAGACCTATACGATTTACCTAATAGACCTCGATCGCGGGGGTCATGACAAGTTTCGCGTCAACCGGCGAATAAGCAGAGATTTGATTGAAACGACTCCGGAAGCAAACCACCTGTTTCCTGCAAGTTGTTTTAAAGAAGAAAAAAAATGTACCTGTTTACAAAATTTAAAAAAAAAGAAGGAATCATCTTGGAACTAATAAGAGCCTTTACAGAACATAATGAACCAACAGTATACACGGAGTCGCCTTCGCTGAAGTGTTTACTACACACGCGAGGTTCCCAAATTTCCCTTTCATATTTTCAATTTTATGTGATATTCCTTTCTCATTTTTTTTTTTGTTCGAATCATGAAAAAAAATATACACCCTATTCGCTATTTCCCACGGTAGATGCTGAAGTGGGGTAAAGCGCTGGATATTCAATTTTATCATCCTGCTTTTTGTACTGGGGTAGAGAACAGCACACCGCCATCCCAGTGCTTCGACACCTCAGCGCCCTAAGTGTTTGAAGGCACGACTATATGTGCCACGTTTTCAAGCTTTGGTAAAATGTCCTACTACAAATATCACTTCAACAAGAAAACACAACGCGTAAAACAGGCTTTGCCGCGCATTACCCAGACACCGCATGAAGCGAGCTGACGAGCCGAGGGATCCAAGGCAGACCTACGCAGTCCGTCCCACCCGCGACGTCACAAACGATGATGATGATAACTAGAGAAGCGCCCCCTGTAGTCCGCGCACGCCGCCAGACAACTTTCTTCGGCAATGGCTTGCGCGCATCGAGCGCCAAACACAGCTGTGCTCGAGCAGTCTTCACTTCTTGGGAAATGCCGGAAAAAGCTCGGCCACCGATCTGCTATCTAATGGATATCAAATAGCCATATATTCCAGAAATTATTTATATTATTGAATGCTAGTACCGTTTTACTGTACTCTCGTCACGAAGACGTTGAATTGAGGTGTGTCGTATGCTTGGCAAGGTTAAACAGCAAGTTTACAAATCCTGCGCCTATATTTAATATTTTCCGTCTAGTGCGATTTTCATCTTACATGTTCTGATAACTTTTAGCTTTGCGCAAAAGTAGCACACTGATGCAGCACTTTTTTTTTACTTCTTGCTCTTATTCAAGTGATACAGAATTCCCATTTCATTTTGGTACTTGGACTCCACCCGAAATCTAAAAATAAAGAAACACTACAGTTGCAACACATGAGTACAACAGAAGTATTGTCACTTTTAACATATTCATGTCTTCCTTCCATGCCTCGTTGGAAGCATAGGCTAAAATTTCCTTCTTACACCATATGCCTTCTTTCCCTAAAAGGGAAACCACCTTACTTACCAAAAGAAAGGACAAACCAATGCATATTATTACTGTGCAAACTTTTATTGTGGTCATTCTTCAGAGATAAAAAAAAAAAAAGAGCCGAGCTGGAAATAAATACCAAAATAAAATCGAGGATAAAGGCACGTCTGTTTGCTTTTAAGTTGTGGACGCGTGTGCGCTGCTCACACCTTGGACATGGGGAGTCGGCAGATCTTGCGCGTAGCGCCTGCAGAAGAGACCACAGTTAACAATTCACCAATCCAAAAAGATAGAATGCACCTACAAGGTGCCCCACAAATGATTTAAATGTTGTTGTTTTTTTACCGCAAAAATAAACGACGCATTGCCGGAAGCTTAGCCTCTGCCCAAACCAAATCCCAAAGTTTCAGAAGTAACCGTCACCTTATTCAAAAGTCTTGATCTTCTCAAATTTTCTAGTGTGAAAATGGTAACGGACGCCCTCCAATATGTGGAGCTGAATGGTGCCAGTTACCAACAATGGGCCTTATTTTCCCTTTGAAATTTTCGTGAAATCGCTCCTAACTTTTGAATAAGCCAACAGTTTGTTCTGAAACTTTGGCGTCTGGTTCGAACCACTAGCGCCACATTTGAGCAGTGAACGAGCTTTGGACGACGCATAGTTTATTTTTACAATAAACAAAACGCTGTACGCGGCGCACGTCTTTAAGAATTGGTCGATTTACTGGATTTAGACGATGCCCAGCGAGTTTCGAAGTGGAGCCATTCATTTATGTTTACTAAAAAAAATAGTAATGATTACCGCAAAATACCGCAGAAAGACCACTTGGTTCAAGCGCCCACTATTGACATTTCCCAAGCCTGGGAATTCTGCATATTATATGTTAAGCGCCCGACTTGACCGGACAAGTGCCCGTGCCCAGATTAACCCAGTTTTCAGTGAAAGTGGGGTGGGCCACTCTCCCGGTATTTTACATTAATTATTCGGCTAATTAATATATTTTTGCAATCCCCGACTTCTGCCGTGACTGGCAGTTTGTTCCCCTAAGGAGTTCCTTTTCCTACTTGTGAACTGCATGCAACCCTTTGACTGCTCCGTGGCTACACATGTGAGAGTAGCTAACTCCCACGATTTGCAACTCCAAATGAGGCCATGCCACCTCTAGCGACAAACAAAGGAAGCAGAGAACCTGGGAGCTTACGCTCATTAGCCAGGGGTGGGACGGATCAAACTGGTTTTGGAGCAATTTTTGGAGCAGAAAAATTTGCATTTTGGACCACTAAGGATAAAAAATTTGTATTTTAAAGCACATTAGGACTAACTGTGACATCATTTTAAGAAACAGACTTTGCCAGTCGTATTATGAGTTACAATTCAAGCAAACTAGGTTTGTACTACAATGTTGGAAAGTTATGAATAGAACTGTGAAATACTTGAACTGCACGCAGAAAAATATTTTATTTTAGGAACAAATTTCGATTAAAAATGAAGGGGGCACGACTCGGGAAGATTAATGCTAGATGCTACGTCGCACCATACATACATCGCAGCATTTACAATCCATTGGATGGATGGATGAATGGACAGACATGACTGAACCAAAGAACCGGACAGCGTCTCGCGCCACCAGGTAATGAAATAGTCATGGTTGTCAACCGAGCTTCCACTTTCTGCTAAATGTAGCATCACTGTGATCTATGGCGCAGCGCCGTCAATTCTGGTGGACTTCATGCTTTTGGCACTGCTAGGCACAGGAAATTGCGAATGTATCAAAATGGCACAATTCGCGCAGCTGTCCTGCCCCCAACTGACATATCCAGCAACAGATGGCCTAGCCATCTGGTGGCCAAAGCGCGAGACAAGAGAATGGGGATCAGAAAGCCCACGATTGAACCTGAAAGGACAAAAAAAAAAAACTTTTCTTCACAATATCCATGAAGCCATTGCCCGATTCCTCAATCACCATGTCACAAAAAAATTACTTTACAGAAGACAGTAAAAATGCCTTTACGGAAGACTAGGTGCACTACCGTAACTTGTGATTACGGCAGAAAGCCTGTCGATTCGGCAGAACCCACCTGAGGGGGCAAGGCGGGTTTCCGTCGCTGGATGGAGAGGTGCACGCTGCACAGCCAAAACTGCTTCCCTGCATCCGCCAGCACGGGGCCTGACATCGTCCCTGTTGGGAGTTAAAAAAGGAACCACAGTCTGTCATTTCCATTTTAAGGGACATCTGTTTTAATCACAGGTGTAGGCAGGGGGGTGATTTGTGGGGGCAAAACCCTCCTCGAAATCATCACGTCTTTTCTTTTTTTAATTAAGGACTATTCCAGCCCCCTTCCGGTGGCTGGAACAATTAAGTAGTCAATCAATCTTTGTCTTCCTTTGGGGACGGCCGTGTCCATACCCGTGAATTGTACAGTATTTTGACTACGACATGCGAAGATAAGACAAAAACTCCTCTCCCTCCCCTTTCCTCCCCTCTCTCCCCCCCCCCCCCCCCCACCCCCCCCCACCCCAAAAATAATTCATGGCTACTCCACTGGTTGCAATTACAGGCAGGTAATACTGTAAATGACTGCAGTAAGGTGGTGATTTGGCCCAGTGGTAGTCATTGTACATGATGGGGAAAAACAGCTCAAAAGTGCGGACAGGAAAAAATGAACACGCACAACAGGACAAAACTGCACATGCAACTGTAGAATTTAAAGGCAGAAACAGCATAAAAAAAAACATACTAGTATCTGAGTAGACTAGAACACACATGACAACACCCGGCAACCAAGCAGCAAGTCATAATCTAGAGCTTTCATGTTCTGCAAGGGTGAACAATCTAGATTACGACGTGTTGCTTGGCTGGCGGGTGTGGCCATGTGTGTGTTACTATGTATGTTTTCTTTATGCTGTTTCTACCATGAAATTATACAGTTGGAAATATTACAGCTTTGTCCCGTCGTGCATTTATTTCCCCCTTCCTGCGTTTTTGAGTGGTTTATTCCCCATCATGTACACTGTAAATGATTATTTTTGCAAGCTCGCCATTTCGGAAATTTTGCGAAGTGCTGCTTTCAGAATATTTTGAGGGCACGAAATTTTGCAACTGTGAGTGAAGTCATTAGCATGGGGTGAAATATTTACAAGGTCAACTGTTTGCAATAGTTTTCAGGTCACAAAAATTAAGTCGTTTATAATATCCCAAAATAGTAACCATAAAAAAAAAGAAAAAGGGCGCAGCAACATTTTGCAACCAACGCATGCTTGACACAGTGTGCAATTAAGAAAGCTCACCTTGACAAGCGCCTTCGCAGGGCCTTTTGTGTGGCTGCCGATATTCGTTTGGGAAGATTGTTCTGAAAAGAAATTCGCAAACTTGCGTTTCACGCTTGACTGAAGGCATTTGGGTGACTAAGGATTAAACACAACACATTTACACTGCGTCTAATAGGCATGTCGAGCCCACATTGAGACCATCCAACGACAATGAAAAAATGCCTCACAACTCCTCTAGGTCAGTAATCCACCATTTTCTGAATTCCCGGTTTCAAAGTTCTTCAGTAAGAAGTTGCAAGGAGGGCGTGACAGAACCAAGTGCAAGGATTCTTTTGAGCAACAAAGCTAAGTCTCGTTGATTCTACTGAGCTACAATAACCTAAATTGAGCCCCCCAAACATTGCTTTTGTACCCACTGTAGTTTATCTGTTGCCCCCAAGTTTATACAAAGAAGCTAGAATCCTCCCAAAAAAATAAAACAAGGGTGAGTGTGAGCCAATAAAGATGAACTGATTGGCTACCATGCGCGCCGTGCGCTGCCGGGCCGTCCTTACCACACATTTTTCCCTTTAAAACAGGACCACTGCTTGTTTAACAAGTTTTTACAGTAAACCTCGCTGCAGAAAACAAGGAAACATGTTTATCTACATGCTTAAGTGGTTTGTTTGAGTCTACAAATCACTAGACATTCAGATTCTTCCTCGTACGAAAGATCTTGAAGCACTCGGGCATGTGCAGAGCTGCGCTGCAACTTGTCGCACTCCCATCGACTTTCACTTTTCTTGCCTCATGCCTCAGACACTTGGCACTGCCTCAACAAGTTTTGCTCGACATGATTCGGCGGAATCTGACGAAGGAAGTGTGCCCCGTCTGCGGCCTGGAAAAACAGAGGGGACGATCCGACGGGCTGCTTTCCTCGACTCCGGTTTCCGAAAAGGGTCGTCTCCTCGATAATTTCTTCGGAGAGGTGCACTTTCCAGTCGGTATAGCTTCCCCGTTTTCCTGTTTTCTTTGCGCGAAGAATGCGGGCAGGCATCGTACACAGTCACATCGAGAACGTAAAAGAAAATCTTCCCGTATCCTTTTGCGTAGCGACGCATGATCAGAAATGATGCAAGCTGCTGGTCTTGCCGGTCGACACCTCCCATCCCTCCATTGTACTCTTGCACGACTAGAGTTCTCACTGGTTCGTTTCCCCTGTGTCATCCCTTTCCAGTGTCAGTGATGTTAGCAGCAGCATGGCAGGCACGGCGAAAGCACGATGACAGGCTCTCAATCCTGCCACTGAAAAGTCATGATACCACGGGAAAAGGAAGCGTCGCATTCACCCCTGGCCAGCTTTGATGCTCTTGGATCTTTTGGGCATATTCTTCCCGTTTGTTCCAACAGTGTTGCATCCACCGTTTTTTATCACTAGGAAGAGATGCGGCGATGAGTACCAGTTGTCTAAGTAAATGGTACGTCCGTCATTGAGACAGTCTCCGAGGTACTGCCAGCCTCCAGCACGCGATCGATGCCTTCTGGTGTGCTTTGGCTCATGCTGGAGGTGGGACAACTGAAGCTGCTCCCTGCCGTTCTCACCAGTGTTGCGGAATGGGCACCCCCATTCCATTCCAATTCCATTCCTGGGAATTAGGGTTTTCGATAATTCCATTCCTTTCAACTCCTAGGAATGGGGACACTGGGCCCATTCCCACTCCTGGAATGGCTGAATCGTTCCATTCCATTCCTCTAATTCCTAGACGTTAAAAGTGTCACTTGACAGCTGCATTACGTTGCAGGGTTGGGCAGAAATATTCAGAAATGTATTTGGAAATACAAATACTGGGATAGATGAAAATAGTTGCTGAGATACTGATACTCAAGTCTCAAATATATCCATAAAAATGTATCGTGATACGTATCGGAAATACATTTTAAAAAGAGGCAAAAAGTCTTTGGAAATACAAATACAAGAATACATTTTAGGGAGGGCACAAATATAAATACATTTTGCAAATTTCTTTCAGACGCCAACTGAGATGAGGCTTTAAGTTTGAAGTGGAAGTTTCTTTTTTCTTTTTTATTTTTTGGTCCCGAAATTACTTTTCCGCAGGCTTGGCACTTCGGCTTGAAGGTAGTGGTTCCGGACGAAGAGTCCTAAATGGGTTTAAAAAACGTCCCATCAAGGATTGACCGCGGTCCCTTCCCTGGCATCCTGTCTGACTGACCAGTGATGCGCAAAGACCGAACCCTAAAATAAATTCCATCAAAAAATCACCACTTCCCTGTCCAATAAGGGCGCCCCTGTCAGCACTGCATGACGTCACGGTGGGATGAACCAGTATTCTTGAATCTGTAGGTGTTGCCTTGAACATGAAACTTTACCCACGCTGCTGTATGAAAGGACAATACATACTTTCGTTGTAGCTGACCTCGTTGAAGACCATGCAGGCAGTTGCATTTGGAATTTTCGAAAAAAGTGGACCACCTGAAGCATCCTGAAGCACATGTATTATCTTCTGTTACGGTTGAAAAATCGGTACAGTGGCATCCCTGTTGTGACGGTCCTTCCTGCCGACTCTCCGCCTCCAACGCATGAATGGCAGTCTTCAAGTTTCGCCTAGCATCATTCAAACAGGGACCTCGTGGATTGCGACCCGAGATGGTCGGCACAGGTGCGAGCTCTTCGAGAAGCAGCGCGCTCGAGACGAGTCAAAAGTGTACGAAGTCTGGGTCCGCACAGCGAGGCCACGTCTGGCCTCCTTCCTGGGATCAGATCACCAGAGCAGCAGGTCACGTTCACGTCGGCTGATGACGTACCAGCCGTGCAATATTACAGGCGCAGACGCATTCGGATATGTGTTGAACTTCACTGGTGAAAGGCGCCACCGCCGCCCCCCCCCCCCCCCTCCCCTCTGTTCGTTGCTTTGACGCTTGTTTTTTGTATTGCATTTTTTTCTTTTGCGCATAGTCTGCTAGGGCCTCACGCAGGTTCGCAGTTTCCCGCTCATTTTATTTCTGAACAAGCGACTCCCTGACTGGCTCGGTATAGCTGAACCTAATAAATAAATAAATAAAATACAAAGAACCTGGCCCATTCCATTCCCATTCCATTCCGGGCAAAAGGCAACTAATTCCATTCCCATTCCATTCCCCTGAACGTTGCCGCCATTCCATTCCCATTCCATTCCGGGGTCGCGAAAATGCGGAACGATTCCGGAATCATTCCAACTCCGGAGTGGCAACTCCGCAACACTGGTTCTCACTCTCAAAGCACGTCGTCGGCGTCATCCAACGAAATCTGGCACTTCGCAAATGACAGTATCAACTGCATCTTCTGCGCTTGCTCAGTGATTGCGTTGCACGTCACGGGTAGGGACCGATTGCACACTTTTGCGGCATACGTTGCAAGCCTGACCTCCAACTCCGGAAGGCTTCCCCACCTATCCAGACTTTTGCCCGCAGAAGTCTCTTCGCTTGCCGTCACAGTTAACCGCGCCATTGCAGACTTCACTGGAGCACCACCCGCTCTGACGGGTCGAACTTGCATCCAGCAGCGGTGTTGTTGGTTGCTTCTGGATGAAGAATGGCCAAAAACGAGCACAAAAACCTCAACTATCCAGATCATGCATGTCAATACAAAACAATGTAGTTGGCGCTCCAGCATAATCTCGAGAATCGATCAAACGACGTGCAACCACGCGTCGTGCGAAAAACTACGAAAAGATGCGGGGAGGAGGGCGCGAGGCTCTTCCAGCGGAATCCAGAGTGGCTCTTACAAGGAGTGCCATCACCACCGGGAGGCGGGTGCGCCACGCGCCGTTCACAGCCGTACTATCGGGCTAATTTGCGAATCACTACCACAAATACTCGTTCGCGCAAATTAAAGAAAAAAAAAAGAGAACTTGTAAAATGAGCGTACAGGATAGCACAATGCTATGAGTACAGCCAGCTGAACTCGTAACAAGCCGAGGTGCTCTTGATATCGCGATTGTATCGTTTTCGTCGGCGGTGGAAGGCTTTGGTTCGATTATAAGTCGACTCCCCCAGTTTAGATTTTCAAAAATTGAAAAATGGGTCGACCTACATTCGTGTAAATACGGTAGTAGGAAACCACGCTGGGTCTGGCTCAGTGCGCTGCTTTTTCCTTGCGAAGGCATTTGTGTAGTCCATCACCAGTTCCCAAACAACTTCCCAAGGAGCGCATTCAGCATTTCCAAAGGCGAGCAGTTGTCATCTAGGGCTGAGCTCATTCGCCGCTTAGGTACTGCAGATCCAGAAAATAAAATTTTCCTGGAATTTTCTTCTTTTCTGAAATTTTCCTAACTTTTTCGGCAGTGTCGTCATCAGCCCAGGTCCAATCCTCCCTTCTCAGTCTCTCGGGCGTCGCACCACCAGGGCTATCTTGTCGTGATTCTCACTCAGAACTGCTGTCGGAATCGCTTTCGTCGTCGGCAGAAGGTTCCGAGAAGTCACTATCCTCACCAGACGTCCCGTCATCATTGCTGTCAAAGAGGATATCTTTGATTTCGTCAGAAAGGCCACGTCGACTACTCTACGCTGCCATCTTCTCCAAGCAAACAGCGATTGAGCTGGAAAGGCGACACCCACAAGAACAAGTTTGAACAAACACAGCGAACAGAACAACTTTTTCCATCTGTTGGCAATGTATCCAACTACACTACACCACGTCTACATGCCGCACCATCTATGAATGGCTTTTTAGAACAAATACATAGAGCCAGGCGAATCGCCGGTTTTAACAATATGGCCCCTGATGGCGCACCCGCCGATTCGACGGCCTTGGTAGCGAATGGGTTAAACATGGCGACTTCACCCTTTACGGGGGCTTTTACTACAGGGGCTCGAAGTTGAACACCCATTGAGAAAGTCAGCAAGATCCAGGGGCAGATTTAAAGGGGGGAGGGGGGGGGGGGGGCGAGAACACCCCCCCCCCCTTTGGGGTCAACTTTTGCTTAAAGGGACCATGAAGGCAGTTTCGAAGTTTTATTCGACGATTGAAATGGATGTCAGGCACGTCTCAGATACTGTTGACCAAGTTCTAGCCCGAACAGATGTTTGGGTGCTGCACCAATCGAGCAAACAGGCGCGGTAATAATAGCGCCGAGAACGATGCCCGAGACCCTACCGAGGCGGCGGCAGAAAGGTGGACTAAAGTGCGCCGTCGAAGCGTGACGACAACGGGCTCCTCATCTGGCGATTGGTTCAAACGATAGACGCGCTCTTGGTTTCAATTTCGGTGGTGAGATGTGATGAAAAATTTTTATTTGAACGTTGGATAATCTTTTGAAGTTGTAGTTGGGAATTAATAGGTTTCATACCGTCTATAAAAGCATAATCTGAAGCGATCCTTCCGTTTGTCACTGGTTGAACGCATCCCGCACTGCTACCTCGGGCACCTATAACAAGCATCGAGCAACCATGGACAAAAAAAGGGAAAAGGTACGAGCGCCGGACTTTTGGTTTTGGTTTCGTGCGTCATCTCGTGTTCGCTTTGCGAACTGGTGTCTCACCAATCGTGCCGCGTTTATGTGCAGTAGTAGGTTGCGCGAAAGGTCGGCTAAAGACGTGCGGTCGATCGGGCGACGTTAGTCTGCATAAACTGCCGACCGATGCAGCAATGCGCAGCATTTGGTTGCGCGCCGTCGTTTTGCGTAGAGCTGTGGACAGCGGTGTCAGGATTTGTTCGTTGCATTTCCGACCAGAAGACTTTGAGCAGCACCTTCACGTCAGCCGGAGTCTGGGTAAAAGTGGGGCGGGGAGTCGCTCTGGAGGCGGCGACCGAGGAGTTGGTGGTAGGTCTGGGGCGCCCTCGTAAAGCGCCAATCCAGAGTTCTGCGTCCTTAGCAGCATCTCCCGTTCAGTCGGCTTGAGGTCGCTGAACGGGAGCTCAAACTCGTTTGCGAGCGCAGCGTTGTCGTCCATTTCTTCCAGGTTTTCTTCACAGACCGCCGTGCACTAGAGCGAACCACGGGAACCACACTGAGTGCGCACTAAATCCTACTGATGCCGACAGTGCTCCTTGTTGTCACTTCTCTTTCCAGAGGCGAAAAAGGGAAGAAATCTGAATGTTTGTTTCGGTTTCGCAAATTTATTTGCAGGAACAGAAATAAGAGTCACAACGATCTAGAAAAAATTGTGTGGCATGCCAGGACCCCAATGCTTCCGAAAACACGTTCTTTTTAAAAAAAATTAAATTGCCTTCATGGTCCCTTTAATGAAAAGATTGATATACACCGTTTAAGATTTCAGTTTTTGGTGACATAGCAAAAATTGGGTCAACAAAATAGATGTGAGCAATGTTTTGGCCGTAATGTTAAATCTCAACAGACCCAACCCCCCCCCCCCCCCCCCCCCCCCGCCTGACCCATAAATCCGCCCCTGGCAAGATCGCCGGACCACTGCGATAGCCAGCGCCGCACTGTGATTGGCCACGGCCGAGGTCATGCGCAGTGCTGGCCAATCGTGGTGGTCGACGGACTCGCCGACCTTTTCGCCAACTGTTCAACTTAGAGCCCCAGGACGACACAAACGCACAGGAGTATCAAACACAGCTAAACTTTCTTTTACAGAAGAGGCCCTTAAAATACGCACCATCAACAAAAACAGAAAGGGTGACACGAAAAAAAAATATTTCCACAAGTACACTTTCATTTAAAAACACATTGTGTTTGTGTCGTCCTGCAGCAAAAACCCCAGTCTCGGGTCTTTTGGTTCCTCCTTTTCTCAAAGACGCCCTTTAGTTTCCACGAGTTTCCTACCCAGAAATCTCTGAACCCAGTCTCCGACGGCAGCAGTTCGTCGGAAAGTGGCAAACTGCGTGGGAATGCAAGTGCGGCAACTCACCGTCGCATCCGACGTCTTCTTAGACCGAAGTTGCTCGATCAGGCGCATCCGGTCGCCGCAGGGAATCCTGAAGAACACGTCGTGAAGTTCGTGGCACGCCGCCGTCAACTGCAGGCACCGACACACATTGACAATGTTGTAGTAATCCGATATTGGGATTTTTTCCTAGGTGATGCCAACATACAGTTGTGCAGGGGCTCAAGCATACAACCTCACGCTTGTATATACCATATAATTGCGTGTATTGGCTGCACTCATGTAAGGGCCGCACTACCTGTTTAAATAGAAATCTTAAAAAAAAGAAGACTTAAAAAGATTATTTGCGTATTAGCCGCACCCCTTTTTTTCCTGAGGCGCGCCGACTGCTTCCGCAGTGTGGTGCGCGCTCCGCGGTCTATATCGTGTCATGTACGCGTCTCTGCTCGTGCTTTTTGCTGCGTTTTGAAGCACAGATAAGAAAAGTTACGGGAGTAAAGCTTCGAAAAGCCGTCCTTTCTACGGTTTTCACATCATCCATGGTCGCCTTCCGCTTGTGTGACGATAGCTGCTGTGAAATCAGACAATTGGGTTTCCAACCGTCGCCGTCAGGCTTCGCGAGTGTATCGTTCTGATAATTCGGCTTGTGCGGGCCCCAGAACCCGAGAGCAGTGGGCAGGAACTTTGAAACTGTTACTTATGCCCTGGAGTGCCGCAGACATAAAACAGGTCACGAATATGGTGCTGAACAAACCGTGCAGTACGCTGCAGTTGCTCGACGTTAACATGGAAACGAACGTCGAGGTAGAATGGATTTCTATGGAACAAGTGGCTAAAGCGCACCCCGAAAAGGCACTTACTGGATGGCTCAAAAGAGCAACTCTGGCCACTGTTGGCGCCGATCAGACTCGGGCACCGAGGATATCGCAGGTTACAACGATTGAGACCGAAATAGAGGCACTCAAGACCACTGCACGCGATGGCAAGTACGTCCATCCATTTCATGATGCACGTCAGAACTATTTTGTTTTTTAATTGTGTCCGGGCCGCATCCAAAAAAATCTGCCCCGAAATTTGAAAAAAGAGGGTGGCTCTTACACGAGATTATATGGTAAAAGAGGGCGCACGCTCAGGGCGCCTGCCTAGTCGCTGTCTCAGAATTCGTCCCGATCGGTCGTCTCATTCACTTCGTCCTGGCGCAGCCTTCTACAGCCTTCGCCAGTTCCTCTCAGGGACCACGCCGTGGCTAGGTGGGCCCTAGTCTACCATGCCCCAGGGTGGTTGGCTACGGGCGCTGTTCCCACTTTCTTGAATGCTGAGCAGTTCTTAGCCTCAGTCACGACTTAGGCGCTTGGCCGTCCCCTAAACATTACTACAGACCTCAAATTTTTTTTTTTTTTTTTTTAGAGAGAAAAACGAAAGCAAGGATCACAAGTGCACTCTCTGCAGAAACCGGTAGAAACCGACCTGCCCACAATGTTACACCTGTCCGTGGCATCACATATCCTCCGTAACGTTACATCTCTTTCCACAATCACTCCCCGAGCTACGTTAAGATTGTTTCACGGTTTCTTTGAGTCCCAGGGCAGCGGGGGGGGGAGTCACCTGGGTGATGAGCCTCTGGTGGAGCTCCAGGTCCTGGGAGGTGATAGTGCCACACCGGATGTGGGGCTCCTGGTGAAGCGCAAGGGCGCACTCCAGCGTGTCCTGCGGGAAAACGTCGGACCCGACGTCGACGATCGGCGTCACCTAGGGGGAGACGGGTTCACCCTCCCGTGGCAAGGAGGCAGAACCCGTAAAGGAGAGGGCATTGACCTGCTTGATTGCATCCACTAGCAAACAAGCCACGAGGCAAATCACTCGCTCGTCCGGTCAATCTTTTCTACTTTAGAGCCAGGTTTCTGAGCTGGCCAACTCGGACTGATCCAAAACCAAATCCGACGGTTGTCCAATGCAAGAGTTTCGCCCACTCAAACCCAATCCGATCCATGGACGACGACCTGAGCCAATCCACCACCTTCGGAAATTTATGGATTGGGAAGTTTTGCTATGAGCCGTCCGCGAGTGTAGTATGGACGAAGTTAAAAGTAAGCAGGCTCCTACCTAGAGGCTCCTTTCACACCAAGGCAGCGCTGTTGCATTTTGCGTTCCCGCAAACTTGCAATTAAAATATTTGGGAAAAAAAGCTGTTTTCAATGACAGTAAATAATGGGAAGCAGCAATCTCCACCATAACACTGCCCCTTTCAACAACCATCCAATATTTAATTTGCAACTCTCCTGGTGCAAAGCTAAAGGATCAGCTAGTGAGAGCTTCGTTAGAGATTTTTTTAATACTTCCGCTAAGACAGGCCAATTGCCTCATATGGGTTAAACAGCATGATAGAAGAACCTTGCTAAATCTCCAAACCAGTCTTTTCTGGACAGTGTCGTCCCAGGGTAAGCAGCACCTGGGGCAGTAACTGTGACAACCCCCCACCCTCCCTTTTCACTGCCAAAGCTGCCCCTAGTGATGCCACTGTTTCTGTAGCACTTAAGTGTCTTAGCAATAAACCCTTTTCAAAAGTCAGTCTGGCAACTTCGATCACCATCACCATCTCAGTGTATCATTCTAATGGCAGCCTTCTTGAGGCTCATGAAAGTAGAAATGCGGAGAACTCTTGAGGCCTGTAGGTTTGAGACGTTATATACAACACGACACACAAATTAGACACAACGGCTCCGTAAGCGTTTATTTCGAGAGTAGTCCAATCAATCTCTAGGCACAAGTTTGGCTCTAAAGCCTTTTGACGGGGGAAATTTAATCAAGGGACATATGGGTCTCCACTTTGTGCTCATAGTTCTGACGTTCACACCATCAAAACTGAAACGAATCAAGGAAGAATTACGAGGTTATTGGAGAACCAATTCTCATCCGCCAATGACGTGCAAATGTGACGGTGTCCGGCGAAATACAGTTTCGCGACTGAAAGTGAGCTGCTTTTTGAGCTCTTAGGGGATGCTGAATTTTGAAAAGGGTTTATTGTGGCACGAGCAGGCCCGAAAGGCTTGGCGAAACGGACCGACCGGAAGTTGCTTGGGATGCGAAAGGCTGCTCGTGTTTTCGAATACGGAATTGGTCTACAAGCTTTCAAACTGGCCAATCAGAAGATGGTAAACTCCGAGGCCTTCCTACCTTGATGGTCTGAATGATGGTCTGCACGCGGTCAGTCTTCATGAGCCTCCGGGTTAGGTGACCCCTGATCAACGCCGTCAGACGGGCAAAACCGCGACGCCATCTTGGGTCCAGCGTCTGGAGATGGGCAGAAAGCATCGCTTGACAGTCGTCGGGAGAATTTGTTTAGACTCTCGCGGGTTTTTAAAATATCTCTCGAGGTAAATTTAGAAAGCAAGAGATGACCATAGGTGGTTATCAGTAGGGTTTCCGTGCTTCCGGAGTTTACGTTTCGTAAAATCAGGAGGATGATTTTCGGATTTATTTTCGCTAGATTCCCAACATCCTAATGTTCAGAGTTTAATTTTGCTCCGCTCCAAAACTTTCCAATATGTAAAGTAAAATGAAATAATCTCTAAACACAAACATACCGTTCACCTGTATCGAACAATATTTATTCAGCTGGATATGGAATTGGCACCCTTGCCATTGTAAATACTAACTGTCCCATGACAAAACTTGAAAACAAGTCTTGGTTGAACAAATATCGATACTTTAAAACCACTAAGCACCTGGGTTAAAACCACTAAGCACCTGGGTGTAGTCGCTGAGAAGTGTGAAAGCTCCACTGCCCTTCCCCTCTCCTATGAAATTTATAAGTTCATATCATTCCCCGTTATAAAAACACCACGCATCCTTCTCTCAAAAGCACAAGCACTATTTGGTACAAACTGGAAACCAGAGGAGCGGCTTTTGTCGTGACTCAGAAGTGCAGTGACCGATTGTCCTGAACAAACCTCGACAAAATACTATACGGTAAACCCCCTTTAGTCAGTAGTCAAAGATTTCAAACGACGCAGCCCGCGTATCCATGGGACCACTGAACCTGCACTCTCAACGAACTTAGCACGTTTTTTCTTTTCGCCATCATAATTTTGACATTTTGTTGGGATAAATCCGAATTGGTAAAAATTTCACCGGCAAGCATTTTTTAGGATCTCATCATACTTGTATGACAAAAAAAAAAAACTAGCTATAAACAGGCCATAGACTTTCCGGTTTTATCCGAGAAACGTTCGTCAATGCCAAAATTAAGAAATCGGTTGAAAATGAGACACACTAATAAACATCCATAGGTTTTAAAAATGCATAATGGGATAAAACCGAAAAATACAGATTTCTAGAAATTGTTTTTTTTACCAAAGACTGTTTTTCTCGAAACCCTCCTCCGTCCAAGACTGGAACTCATATTTTTTTCATGGAAGTTCTCTCTCCAAAAAACGTTGTTTCTAGCGTCCGTCCAAAAGAAATCGCCGAAACGCACGGACTTTTCAAAAATAAATAAACGCCAGGGAAAACATCCACCGGTTTCCTTTATAAATAAAAAAAACTGAAAATTGACGGCCTAGTTATAAAGGAAGGTTCTGCATCTGTGCGGAAACCCCGTAAACGCAGAACCATATTCCCTGGATCGCCTCAAAATAATCTGCGGATCCCAGACCGAGAACTCGTCCAGTACAACTACGGTGCCTGGCATGTGTCTCCCACTGGTCCGTTTAGCACATCCGAAAGAGCGTTTCCTCGATTTCTGCCCCCATGATGTCATTAAAGCGCCTCAATGTCTCCGGTTGTTATCCTGGCAATGTCCCAGCAGCAAGGCGAATGCGGCAGACGACTGCTCTGTTGCAGGTCCCTTTCCGTCTTGAAAGTCCACGGAAGCTTCGCCATCCAGAAATTGGAACGCCGCGACGACGGCAACACTCATTCGCTCGTGCTTTACGCCGGAACTTCTACAACCAACTGCCAGGATTACGACATCCGACACCACGACGCTTCGGCTTTTGCGACGCCATTGGTTGCCACTTCGAGACCACTCGCGATGCACGGGTGAAATGGGACGTTAGACACACCAGGCGGAGACACGTTTCAGGCACCACAGTACGACTACCAACCTCTTTCGTCTCCGCGAGAAGGTCCCGGTTCGTACTTCCGGTGGCCGACGGCGAGACGTCGGCGCATTGCAGACGAGATTTTGGGCTGTCTTCGCACCGTTCCGAGTTGCGCTGTTCTACGTCGCTTCGGACCTCGTCTAAAAGTAAAAATAAAAACATTTTTACACACAATGGATAACTGGCTGTGTTTTTAAGTTCCATTCCTGCTGCCCCGCCTCCAATTGACCCCTTTTAAAAGTCTGTCGAGCAGCATTGGCGGCTGCCATTTTTTGGCCACAAAGCGCGCAATTGAATCCGAGTTTACGTTGACGCAACCCGTGTGTCCAATACGAGCTCGGGGTAGGTGCCAAAACAACGGCAAACTCGGATGATCGGCGAGACAACCACCAGAGGGAGTGCATTTCTGAAAAGGGACCATGCAAAAACAGACGCCTCGCTTGATTACGACGCATCCCACCCTTCAATTGGCACGAAATCTATTCACTGCTAAGACCATCCTATTCTCGCGAAATAACCCTTGTTCCGTAAAAACTTCAGGATGTTCTAACCACAAAGAAACAATCAATATACCACTCAATTCAAAATGCAGCAGGCTGCATTGGGATCCTTGTCCACTTATAATTTCCGTGCAAAGTTTTACTGTTACAGGAAATGCATTAAGAGAAATTTCTAGAAGTCAATCGTATAACACATTGTGTTAAAAAGAAACAAAAAAGAAACCTATTACACATTGTCCTTACATGGTGTCTGCTCCACGGTTTAAGAATGTGAACAGTTTGTCCGAAGCACTACTGGACGAACTGAAAAAAACAACGTCTTCATCATACCCGATAAACTCAAAATGCACAAAATGAGTTGTGAATGAGTTGGGCGCGCGTGCTGTGTATGCCACGTGACAGCCTCACGTCAAGGCCACATACCGTATTTCCCAAACTATAACCCGCAAAACCAAAATTCGGCTGAAAAAAAATTTTTTTTTTCCTTAGACAACATGCATTTGGTGACAGGTCCGCATGTAAAAAAACTTAGCTACACAGCGAACCTTGACAAATGCTTGATGCCTCGATGCTTGCAGCTTCTTTCTCGACGCTTGTTCTTTCTTTTGTTTCTGGGACAAGTTCGCCGATTAAACCTTTATTTTTAGTTTTACAATAATCAATCCCTTTCTATGCACAACAATCCTTCGACGTTCATAAAATTTATTGTGTCTCCTAATAATGAACGATCTCGGAAAAACACTTCCTTGCATGGTACGCAGACAGTCGCACCTCATAGAATTTGAACCTTTAGACGTGTAGTCTGCAAACTACTATAGCCTGGAAAATATTGTATGTCATGTTAAAAAAGAACCAGAAACCTAGCATTCGCTCTCCCAACACGGTGCCTGCTCTATGGTTTACCAAATGAGTATTTCACGACTGCTACAGACAAACTGATAAAATTTAAGTATATGTCTCAATCACATCTGACACTCTGAAACACACGAAAAGTGTTGCAAATGGGTTGGGCACAGGCTATGTGTGTGTTTGAGTGATGTCACGAGACTGACGTTGTGATATCACGTGACCCCGAGATTACATGACCTCATGGCGTCACAAAGTAACGCAACACTCCGACGTGAAGGTCATTGTGCCACGTGCACGGCCGAGAGGAAAGGCTACTCTATACTTCGAGAAGAATCGTGTTTACTCTCCTACCAAATATTCAACGATCGTACATTCTAGGCCGAATAACAGATAAGAAGGCCAACATGGCTTTGTCGAGCAAGACTCGCAAACTGGCCAGCCGTCACGCCGACACCTCGGCGCTCATTCTTTCTTTCGTTTCTAGCTCAAGTTTGCCGATTACACCTTTAATTTTAGTTGTACGTTGTCTATCCCTTTTCACCCTCGACGATATGAGCAATGTAGCCCCTGCATGTCAGTTGAACATACCACTGCGCTTTTCTCATGAAATTAGCCCTATAACGGATTCAGTGTTAATATGAACCGATCACTATTACCAGAAAACGAAGCGGTGCGGGACCCAGGAGGCGTCGTCTCCGGGGTCTCCCACGAGGTCTGCTCGTTGCCGTTAGGCGAGAAGGTGGCCAGCGAAGCGCTTCCGTCTTTCACAAACTCGAGAGCCAGGTTACGGCTGAGGGTGTCCATCGCCTTGTTGTGTTCTGCCAGCATCTCCTCCATGAAGTCGAGGCCCTTTGTAGACCTAAAAAAAAACAAAAAAAGATTTTGTTGTTTTGGAATTGCTTTTGATGCATGCGGAAACTGGATCCTAAACATACCAGTCGGAGACGCATTCCTAGCATTGTAGTACAATACATTTGAGTCACCAAACCGAAAAAAATGAATTCATTGCGTCGTGTTTTTGTTTAACAGCAGGGAGTTAGTCCGCCCTAATGGGCGTCTGATGTCTTCGCTGCACACAAGAAATTTAGCCAGTGCACTACCATCGCTAGCTTGGGGTCATTAGCGTACACCACGCAGTAGTGACACACGACCGCACGCCGGTACGATGCTCGTCCAGATCGAAACATGCAGGGGTGTGGATTGAGCCCAGGATCCCTGCAGAGTTCTGCGACTCAAACTTTTGCCCCATGTGCTTCAAGCTGTGGCGTACATACTCCGTGCAGTAGACAGAACAGCGTGAGAACATAATTATCTCGTTTGTATTTAGTACAGGTTAATTAACGCGGGAGGCTTTCAGAGATTTTTTCGAGTGGCTCTGAAGCTAATCCCCCTGCCCGATGCTGGAACGGAAGACAAATCGAAACTTTCTCTAACTGCTCATTAGCCCTGGAAGCGGATCCGCGTTCGTAAAGCGGTAGCGAACGCGGTTCTATAAAGATACAGTACAATTGCACGCGCAATTGTACTGGACCTTTATACAACCGCGTTCACAACCGTTTTGCGAACCCGGATGCGCTTCCAGTGTGAATGAGCGGCTAGGCCTCATTCAAAAAGCCGTTTTTTCTCCCCGTCCCAGCGAGAGCGCAACAACACATACTCGACGCCATCATCAACATTCTTTAACACTATACTTCACTCAGACTAATCTGTAGAAATTTTCCTTTTTTCCTTGCATAATGAACAGATTGAATTCTCTTCCCTGAGATATTGTACCATCGAGTAATTTTGCATCACTTCAAATTGAATTCTAGAAGAGTTCTTCTTTTTTTGTGCATGTTTCAGCCCTGTAATCTATTTAGGATTATAGTAATGGTGTGTGTGTGTACTTGTATTCCTTCAAAGGTTTGCTTGCCTTTTATTTTTCTTGCAAGGTATACTGTTGATTGCTGGTTTGTTTGTGGTGCCATATAGTTTTTCTTCCTTTTTTATATTTACTGCCCTTCCTGCTTGGACTGTTCCAAGGTCAGCAGTATGTAATAGAAAAAAGATATGCGATATATGTGATTATAATGTCATGTTATAGCTTTCAGCAGCACTATGCCTACCAACTGTTGTCTCCTGTTTCCTCGGAAAACTGGCAACCATGATTTTAGGCACCAAGATGACTAGGCCAGGTGGTGCAAGCTACGGCTAGTTATAAAGGCTACAGCCATTAGCATCCACTCATCCATCCACGGCTGAAGTATCATTACTCTCAAGCATACCATATTAAGTGGCTCTACATAGTTTGTAGTTCTTAACGAGAGGAACCGTGACCACTCTTCAACAAAAGGAAGAGTAATATCGGCATAGAAGGGTTAGGGTAACCAATACACTTTCAAGCTTCCATAGTTCTTACCTGAAAGAATCGTCCGAGGAAACACTCGATGTCTCACCATCACTGTCCTGGTCGGCGTCATCTGCAGCTTGTTCAGCATCGTTTGAAGAGATTGGCTGGCTCGACGACACCGCAGACAATTCAGCTGCTGAACACTCCACGCTCCCCGTCGAAGGGAAGTACCTTCTGTCCCCAGCAGCCGATTCAGATGCATGTCCATCAATCTGCCTCGACGAAAGCACAAATGTATCTCCACGCTTCAGGGGCGTAACACCAGGCCTCGCAAACGGTGTCGGCAACTTGTCTTCAGCGCCGTTAGAAATGCTGAAGGTTTCGCCTATAGCCTTGACACCAGACAGCTGCAGATCGTCATTGGGCCCCTTAGAATCGCTGCAGGCCGAACTGTTGCATGCTTCGAAACTGGTGTCGGTGTCTGCAAACATGTCGTCTGCTCCGTTGTCGACAATGCCGTCTGCCATGGAATCTTCGCCGTCTGTTTTAGAAGACACCAAACTCGGCTGGGAACTCGACAGGTCTGTCGACGCGGGCGACGTGCCTGACAGCGAGTCATTGCTTTCCGTTTTTTGTGGCGTTGCAGTAGGCGAGAATGACTTATCAGTGCTGTCTGGTTTCTGTACGTCGTCGTCTGCTTCCTTAGGCGTCTTGCTTCCCCAAAGAAGAAGGGCGAGCGACGGTTTCTCAACCGTGAACGATAGAGAGCGGAGCAGCGGAGGGCGTGAAGTTACATCCTCGTCGCCGGGTTTTTTGTCTGCTACCGGTTCCATCTCCAATGGGCAGTCGTCTGCAATGGAAAGTTCTGCACAAGCAGACGACATGTCCCCACCTGCCAAAAAAAAAAAAAAAGTACAGCATTTATTAAAATATTTATTTTATTATAACAGAGTCCCCAAGGTCATAAAAAGAATAACATAAAAAAGGTGAGACTTTTTTTTAGTTAAAAAATAGATGGCCAAGTGTTATATATTAGCAAAAATGATTAGCAGATGCCAATTTGGATGCAAGTATTTCCAGAAAGGGGTGGGGGGGGGGGGTTAGGACATCCGGACCACCCTCTGAATCCACCGAGTTGAGTTACATCCTGCTAAACTTAGCGGGATGCCATTATGGCTTATGTAGTCATGTGGTCACACGTAACATGACATCAGCTCATGAAACATCACGGTGTCAACATTACTATATCTAACAATGTTAGGTGCCAAGTTGTGACATAAAGTGATGTCACATCATGCAATGTCAGGTCACGTGACAGTATCATGCGACTCCACAACCAGACACTGCGACGGCCCGTGACTCACAGTGTCATCAACTGAGTGACGATCGTACACATGTCGTCTAACCTTTTTAGCTAGATTTATCGTATTTTCCAGGGTATAAGTCACATTTTTTTTCATATATTTTTCTTGGTGTGACTTATATGCATTTTTTTTTTTCATTCACGAAGCGACGCTTCTTTATTTAATGCTCTGCGCCATCCTTTGTAGGGCACTGTAACTACATATCCATAGGTGGTGTCGCCCCCTCCAGAAGGCACTGCTGTCACCACACTCTCCTACAGCTTCCATAACCGACTCAAAAAGCAAGAAATTTTACGGTTTCCCCGAAGCGGCTCAATCTGGATAGGCACGACAGTGAAAATAAAGCTTTCACAGCATGTTATCAACATTGCCTATTTTAACCACGATTCTGTATTCTTTTGCTTCCCTCCAGTAACACTGAAAGGTAAGCGAGCTGGTTTACACGCATTGCAGAATATTTTCTCGCGTCTTTCTTAGTTTCCGTTTGATGAGCAGTTTTTTTCTGCCATGCTCCAGCCTTGTTGCTACATTTAAAAAGAAAGGATTGTGCCAACCCTATCTTCTAGAGGTACCGAAAAAAGTATGTCAAGGTTTATCTTTCTGCCTGCGCATCGATGCTCGCGTCGCCTACGGGACACGGCCTAGACTAGGCCTAATGGTCCAAAGCTTGGTTCACAAGTGTCTAGCTCGTTAAACTTTCGTTCGCTTGGCGTGCATTTGCTCGAATAAAGCCGACTACCTTCTCATTTTGTGAGTTTTATGTCCTTCTGCTGCAAAACACTCGATTGCACCCGCCAGACAGCGCCGTGCTATGGGCATTTGTTGCTAGTCGAAACATCAAAGTTGCACATCAAACGGTATGCGCGATCTAGCCAATTGTGCGAAACTCCAATTTCAAGATACCGATGCACGTAAACTAAAAAAACTCATAGTGTGAACTGTGCAAAGAGATGCGACTTATACAAAGGTGTGACTTATAGTCCGGAAAATATGGTAGCAGAAAAATACCCCTCCAGATTTAGCAGGGAATATAAAAGGCCACATAATGTAACATGAAGCCAAAACTCCTCCAAGTCCGGGGCATAAATGCACGTCAAAAGAAAAGACAAATTGCCAAAACAATAATAGAAGCCATTTTACCGGATGGGGTATGAAAGGAATCGAAGGTCTTGTCGCGGGGGTCGTCGTGGTCCGATTCCGAGCTGGTCGGAATGAGGGTCGCAGACGACGCATTGTCCGGCGTGGAAGCAGACGGACTCGGGGGCCACCCAAGGAACCCGCTTGAAAGCGCTCCAGACATCACCGTCGGTGTCGTGTCGGGTTCTGTGGGGAGAACACGAGAGTCAGATTCATGAAGGCTCTTACGATATACGGACCGCCATTTCATCGCCGCTCCTGAAATTACGGAGCTCAGAACGTATCTCCCACTCGTGTCTTCGAACTCCAAAAAAGTGGTCCCTCCATTTCCGTCTGATATGTCACACAAGTGCCACGCCGTCGCCAACCGCGGCCCTGGTGATGGTATGGCAGCAGTAGCGGTAGGCGCTTGTTTTATCGCAGGTCGCTTTCCAGCGGAAGCTTTGGCAGCCAAGAGTAGGGACGCCGCAATGACAGCGACACTTGGGGTTTTCTAGTGCTTTTTTTTAGAGCTCCTATGCCCAAGCATTAGGATTGTAACATCTGACAGCATGACTTCTCCGATATCACGTGTGGCTGCTTCGAGACCACTTTCGATGCATGGGCGGAATGGGACGCCAGACGCACCGGTTGGAGAGGCGTCCCAGGCACGGTACTGAAATGCACTGCGTTCCAGGCACGGTAGTGAAATGCACCGCGTTCCAGACACGGTAGTGAAATACACTGCGTTCCAGGCACGGTACTGAATTGCACTGCATTCCAAGCACGGTACTGAATTGCACTGCATTCCAGGCACGATACTGAAATGCACTGCATTCCAGGCACGGTACTGAAATGCACTGTGTTCCAGGCACAGCACTGAAATGCACTGTGTTCCAGGCACAGCACTGAAATGCACTGCATTCCAGGCACGGTACTGAAATGCACTGTGTTCCAGGCACAGGACTGAAATGCACTGCGTTCCAGGCACGAGACTGAAATGCACTGGGTTCCAGGCACGGTAGTGAAATGCACTGCGTTCCAGGCACGGTACTGAAATGCACTGCGTTTCACTCGACAAGTCTTCCAAGGTCGTCATGTGCACGTGTATTGGCAGCAGACTGAGTGCCATTTTTTGCGGCGCTTACAGGGCAATATCGGCAGTGTACAACTGTGTAACTGAGCATCACAATTTTTGTTTCCGTTTTCTTTGAAAACAACGGTACAGAAATAATCGCCGGTTAAAACATTTAAAAAGGCCGCCAAACATTGCTGGAAAAAGTCCACATCAGTGGGCCTGATGAAATTCGGTAAATGACTGCAGCGATGGTTGGAGGTCCCACTCTATAGAGGGCACATCTGGTCGTTTTGCTTGTTTTACTTTTAAAACTATGATTACTACACTGTAAAAAACATCAATAGCAGATTTTTCCTGTTCGTGGACCAAAGTTATACGCAGAATTTTTTAGGCCCACTTCAGACGGGGCAACTTTCTCGGCAATTCTGGGGTTGCTGGAAGGTTGCTCTCTAGCTTTTCATAGATCGACATCAATTTCTCAGATCGGGTTCGGCTCAAAACAAGCGAGCAACTCGGAGCAACTCGAAGACGTTTGAAGCAACAGCAGGCCAATCAGGGACACAATATTATCACGCGATACCCCGTGCCGGTGATGATGACAACAGAAGATTTGGTTCTGGTTTGAAATTGATCGTTTATGGAAATAAACCATGTCAGAAAAACGAGCTAGCATTCTCAACGGCATTTAAAGATGTAAAGAAACGTTTCTAGCGTGTAACTGTGTCTATATAGTGCAAGAGAAATAAAATTTAATGATGATAATAGCAAAAAGCATTGCAAATTGTTGTATATTTATACAGCCGGAAGTTAGTCTGCCTCAGTGGGCGTCTGGTGTCTCAGCTGTAGACGAGCAATTTAGCCAGTGCAGTACAACTGCAAACCTGGGGTCTTTAACGTGCACCATGCAGTAGTGATACACGACCACACGCCGGTACAATGCTCATCCAGATCGAAGCGGGCAGGGGCGCGAATTGAACCCAGGATCCTGGGTTCTGCAGTGCAAGCTTTCGCTCCACGTGCTCCGAGCTAGTGTGCGCTAGCCCACTCGGCCACCGATCCCCCAATGATACAGTAAAACCTCGTTATAACAAAAAAGGGATATAACAAACTAATGGATATAACAAAGCAATCATAATTACCCTTGCTTGCTAATAGTGGGAAGAAATGAACAGTAGCTATAACAAACTAATGGTTATAACCAGGGTGTCGAACCGGAACCGAACCGAAAACCGGAACCGAACCCATATTTTTCCGGAACTGAACCCGAACCCGAACCTTTATATTGTTATTGCGAAGAAACCGAACCGGAACTGAACCGTAAAAAAAATAACGGTTACCGGCTGATGTCAAAACGGTTCGGCCACGCGCTGTTGACAATGAATGTGCTATCAATGCCATTTGTTTTTTAAGTGCCGTCAACTGACACACACCTCGCTAACATATTTTTCTTCTCCACTCAGTCTTAGGAATATAAACGCTGCATCCATGAATCTTGACAAACGCTGCATTCATGAATCTTGACATAGGAACCAGTATTGCGCTGGTCGCGGCTTGCACGGAAGAAACAGAATTAAAAGACTGTGCAAAAAAAAATAAAAAATTGCGTCACGGGATTTTATTTTCCTACAATCTCGTAAATCCTAAATGCTGCTGTGTGCTCATTTCATAACACGTTTCTAGAACGCGCAAGTTCTTGAAGCTTGCTTCCATCGGAATGAGAAAAGAAAAGGCTGTGGAGTTTGATAATAATGCATCCGGTTTCGTATAGGCACTTAGAAGCTAACATATTTGTGAGACGGCGAACTCTTCTATTTTAATATTTATCCTATTACGTCCTTCTGACGTTGCGTTCGGTGAAGTGTTTTTCATATTCCGTATCTTGTTTAATGAAAATTTCTTTAAGGGTCTAATTTGAGTTACCGAAGGCTAGTTCAAATAAAGAAAGCTGTATTTTCTCCCCACTGTTCCTTCAATTGCTTACACGCCGAGGTGGCGGAATAGTTAGCGAGTTCTACTTGTAAGTGGGTTTGTAAGGAGGTCACGGATTTTACAGCTACTGCGTCGGACCCAATCAGATGAAGTCCGAATGCGTAAACGTCGATGAGGTAACCTTTGAGTGCACATAAAGAAACCATTCCTGGTAGAAATCCCTGAGCCTAACAATACGATGTATCCCGTTTCGTATGTGCTGATTTCAGATGTTTTATTTGTAATTTATTTTGATGTTGCAATTTGTCATTTATAATTTCCGAACCGGTTCGCAAACCGGTTCAGCGCCCCGAACCGGTTCGCGGATCGAATTAATCGAACCGGAACTGAACCGGAACAAAATAAATTTACCTGAACCTGAACCGTAACCGAACCCGTATTTTTTTCGGTTCGACACACTGGTTAATATCGAAATAATTATGACCGCTCCTTCAACTTTGTTATAACGAGGCTTTACGGTAATAGCAAATCGCAGCAATTCGTCGCTGTGTGTGAATGCGGGCGGCCTGTGTTGCTGGTGTTGCGACGTCAAGTTGCTGGGAGAAATTGCCCCGCCTGAAGCGGGCCTTAGTGGATTACAATACCACATTATCGTACACTGTTCACGGCAAACCTGAGAGGCTAGTGGAAGCTATGTGCTCGTTGGACCGACCGTACGCCAACCTTTTGCACCGTGACCTTGCTTCCGCCCTCCCCCTCTCCCTATAGACCAACACGCGGCCCCCATGTCACGCAGCTGCGGTGGCGCTGTCGACGGCACGGCGCGTGCGCACACGCTTCACTCCTTCCGAATTCGGTTTCTGCGCATGCGCAGTGCCCACAGCTGGTGTGGGCAAACGCTGGCGTGTTTGTAAACAGCGTGTCGGTCTATAGAAGCAGACATTTCTCCGAGCTGCTTGCCTCGGTGTCGAATGTCGGAAAACTGCCAAAATTAAGAAGGCCCGGTGGGCGTAAATGTACCTCAAAAGTCCCAGGAAATGTTGTCTTGACCTGGCCATTATCACACTGGCAACAGTCCTTAGTAATACACTTTGTGAACCCACACAAAAACAATGTTCTACGGCGTATCCACGGGTGCCGAGACCAGTCAGACCGAACAGGTCGGGCGGGCTTGAACACGAGCGCCGCTACGGCAGCAGTGAATGGCAGTGCGTCACTTTTTTCTCAAAGCTTGTCAACTTTCCCAATCCAGTAACGTTGGCTCTTAAAAAAAAAAAAATTGGTTTGCTCTGTATGTTTATAGAGCCTTGATGGAGATAAGCCTCAACGGGTAATCGGTCTCTTAGCTGTAGATGAGAAATTTAGCCAGTGCAGTACAACCGCTAACCTGGGGTTTTTAACGTGCATGACGCAGTAGTGATCACACGAACGCGTGACGGTACGAAACTCATCGGTGGCGGGGTTCGAACCCAGGAGGTTCCCAGCGCAAGCTTTCGCTCCACGCTCAGAGCTGAGACGTGTTAGCCCACTTGGCCACTTCCTCCCCACGTTGGCTCTTACCGCCCTGTCAGCTTAAAAGTGGGCGGAATATGACTTTCCCGTGCGGCTCAACCATTTGTTTAACCTACCTTCGTGCACAGAAGACGCAAATACCGAGCCTTTGGGGCTATTCTCTCCGCCCTGCTGTGCGTTTTCGCCACGAGAAGTTTCTTTTCTCTGCAAGAAAGAAATGAATAAAAACATGTCAAGATTAGTAACACTATATAATCCAACAAGTGTAAATTCACTAAATCACACAGTCGAACATCGCTTGGGCAAGCGCGAAACTATGTTTTCTTTAACGTCGTGCATGGCTAGAACACACCTTTTCACGCCTTGCTTCGCGTTCGCAGGCCAGCGCTTTGAAATTTCTCATTAGTCGCCGTTTCTCTTCCGTCATCTGTGCAACAAGAAACAACAACAAAAAAACAAGAAGCATGTCACGTAGTAACCGGTGATAACAGCTCCCAAAGAACTGGAAGTAAGTTGAACAACGTAAAAAAGGGATAATTACCAGCGGTGGCAGAATGGGCTTTCCAAAGCTCCGAATGCAGGAAACGTACGACTGCTCGGTCGAAGTCATCTTTGCTGGCGTCGTTCTGCGGTGCGTCCGTTTCCAAACGACAAACGATAGCTACCGAGTTTTCACGTTCATGACCGGAGTTCAGTTTTTCGCGCTACAAACGAAAAAGCGCAGGAATATGTTTAAAAACATGGCCGCCCCAAAACCATAAAACGCCCCTGCCAACATCCGCAGCCCCATGTAGTGCGCGCATCAAGATAAAAACAAAGATAAATCGCTGCAACCAACGTGCGACATTACGCACCAATGAATCTCAGGCATTAACATCCGTTCCTACGCGGTTTATCATCACAACGCCAATAAAGCAGTCAGTCGGAAATCAGATCAAATATGACTCATAAGCACACGCAGTACACTCGCAAGCAAGTCGGTTTGTTTACAGTTGGTTACCATGACAGCTAAATCTCCATACAAGCATTAGAACACAATAAAATAAATTATTCTGATGATAATATAAAATTTAAGTATATTTAACAACTTATATTAAATATATTTGTTACGTTGAAGAGTTACAAAATTTTGAAAAATTAACTAAACAAATATAACTCTTTTGTTTGGTGTAGGTGGCGGCAGTGTCGATTTGACCTACATAAGAGTTTGTTGTGGTTGATAGTGGCTTCAATCGAGTGCTAGCCGTAAATCAAACCTCGTTAGCGAAAGCTGTAAGGATTTTCAACATTTTCGCCTTCTCATAGCCCGAAGACTTCCTTCACTCAAAGGTGAGCAAACAATTTTGATGCGCTGTGCTTTGGAAAGCTTATGTCGTGCAACCCTTTGGGACACCGCTTTATTTTCCAAATCACCCGTCCCTGCACACATTTAACAGCGTTTGCGCTGTTCTTCATGGAAACTTTGATTCTGGGCCGCAAATATTTCGGTTTATTTAACTGGTACACGTGCTCTCTGAGGCGGCAATGAAAACTTGGCACATGTTTCTGTCGGCGACATTCACGGAAGTGATAACACATTCGCTGTAAAGCTCTTTACAGCCGCTACTGACACCGGTCATTCTGCGTCGTCTGTTTTTAGCACAACACGGGCATAGGTACCACGTCGTAAAAACCACGATCTTCACCCCAAAATACAGGTTTCGGTCATTTCCAACCCAGCCGATGTGCAAAAGCGACCAGATTCAGCATCCACACGACCCTGGGAACGTCCAATCACAACAGCCGCTCGTCCATTGCCTCCGACCAATCACAGCCGAGCTTCTTAGCGCCAATAGAAAGAGACGTGACGTCAGGGCTGTCCAATGATAATTTGAACCGTTGGTGACGTCGCCCTTCCCATTTTCTTTTTTTTTTTCTACTATCGTTCTCGCCGTTTCTTGATCCCGCTTGCTTGCCAGTTTATTGTTTTGTGGTGTGACCGACAGTTGTGTGCTCCAGACTTTTTGGGACCTTCCAGGTTCGTGCCCGTTTTGTTTACCAACGTGTTACCTGTTCGTGAAGGTAGCCGAACCCGCAATGTCATGCTGGGTAGTCTCACCGCTCGACCTATCCGTTTATTTAGCTCTGCGAAGCCGGCGAATACCCAAAATGCATGAGGCTTATTGTCTACTCAAAATACTCTGATGGCCGCCATTTTAAAACAAATGCCGACCCCCTCTTCCAACGAATTTATGTAATTCAATTCCTTCGGGCCGCTTTGTTGTTCATCCTCGTGGTTCTAGCGTCACTGAACACGTTTAGCGTTAACCCTGAACTAAATTTTGACCGTACGAAGCCGACACGTCGGCGCATTTCTCTTCCCAACGCCGAAGACGGGGACGCTCGCTAAGCCTAACCGGCCCTTCCGCACAGACCGCATTTTATTACTGTTGTTTTGCTGCCCAGAGGCGTTCGGTGCTGACCGTTTTCGGTCCGCGCACCCCTTGTTGGTTTCTCGCAGTGAACAATGGCCCGTACTAAGCAGACCGCCCGTAAGTCGACCGGAGGCAAGGCGCCTCGCAAGCAGCTGGCCACGAAGGCCGCGCGCAAGAGCGCCCCTTCCACGGGCGGAGTGAAGAAGCCCCATCGTTACAGGCCCGGTACCGTGGCCCTTCGTGAAATCCGTCGTTACCAGAAGTCGACGGAACTGCTCATCCGCAAACTGCCCTTTCAACGACTCGTCCGTGAGATTGCTCAAGACTTCAAGACGGACCTCCGTTTCCAGAGTGCTGCCATTGGTGCACTGCAGGTGCGGTGTCACTTTTTTTTTTCCCGCCTTTATTTTTTTTTTACCCCTTTTCTGCGATCCTTTCCCGCGTCAAGTGCGCTTCAAAGTAAATTTAGCTTCATTTAATGCAATGGTGCAAGCGATCTGGACAAGATTGATTATAATCCCTAGTGAAATAAGGACAAGTGCAAAACTCCAGACATAGCTAGTTTCCTGGTGCGCGACGGGAAAAAATCTGCCTTGTTCTGGTGTCGAACCAGGGACCTCTCTATCTCCAGTGGAGCACTCTACCGACTGAACTAACCAGAAGTTAGTAGAACACTCAGGTTTAGTAATCATAATCCCTGGAGAAGGAAACAAAAAGGACAAACACAATCGCGGAACACTGCTTGGTGGATGGTGTGCAACTGAATAAAACCAGTTTGCTCTACTGATTTCCAACTCCTGGTTCGCTCAGCTCGTAGGAAGTGGAGAGATGCCTGGTTCAATACCACGACCATGCGGATTTTTTTTTTTTTTTTTTGGTCTCGCCAGTTGCTTAGCTGTGCTTGTCCTTTGTCCCTCCTCCAGGGATTATAGTCTGGTTTACAGCCGTCTGTAGCAAGGACCACGATGACATTGTGCAACACTAGTCTCTGAGCACTCATAAGGGTGCAAACATTACAAATCCAGTTTTACCTTTCTCCACCGTGCAGAATTCGAAATGGACCTGTGCCTTCTCCCAAGTCTCTACTCGTTTCATTTGTTCGACATGAAGTAGTGCTGCAACAGCCGAACGTTGCTCGTGAGCAAAGTTTCAAAACATGCACAACCACTTAAGGGTTTGTAAGTCTCCAGTATTTCATGTTCGTGGCGTCGCAGGGTTAAGCAAGTGGGAAAAAAGTAAACAAAGTTATACCAGGATTGTTCTGTGCTGACGGCCTTATACATCTAGCCGATAGTTTGGTTGGATTAGAAAATTTTATTAATATCCATGGAGAGGAAGGCCACTCTGGGCCTCAAATTCAGTAGCCACAAGTAGGAAATTGTCTTCCAACGATGAAAAACAGGAGCCACAGAAATACAGCACTTTCATAGTGTGGAGAAGTATCAATATCTAGCTGTTTAGCTAAATGGGTAATCGTCCGACACTTGGTTTCTAGGCTAGGTGCTGCGATCACCGCCCGTTTGTTATAAAGGGTGCAGTCGTTAACATCCACCCAATCCAATGTTTCTCATTTGCAGTCTTCAGTTTTAGGGGTGTGTATGGAAATTGTCTGTTTGTACCACGGAACATTCATGTACAATAGGGGGGCCTTTAGCTCGTAATTGACTGTCCACAGGTGACTTATACCCATCAAAACTGTGCTCAAATGGGGGAAACTTTGGTTTTAGACAGGGTCGGTTGAGGGGATCTGTGACTGAGTCGTCGCAGATCCCCTTGATCACAGTGCTGGACTGGCCAGTCCAGCACTGCGAATGTGTTGAGGGACTATTCCGCACATTGCTGCAATAACCCTCAGTAAACTAGAGTTTCTCAGAGGTACGCTACCCGTTAAGGAGGATACGCTTTCCACGAGCGCATATGCCTCGAAGCTCTTTAGTTGCGCCCCTTTCCCACGGTTCTGTGGCACCGGGTCGGCTTCGACGCGACGCAAAAAGGGAGCACTAGGACCCTCTCTTCAAGCTGTGTGTTGCCATTTTCTGGCGTGCCTTCCCTGCAACCTGGCTTCCCTCTCTCTTGCGCAGGAGGCCAGTGAAGCGTACCTGGTGGGTCTGTTTGAGGACACCAACCTGTGCGCTATCCACGCCAAGCGCGTGACCATCATGCCGAAGGACATCCAGCTGGCCAGACGGATCCGCGGGGAGCGTGCGTAGACGCTGCCATCCCCGGCCCCTGCGTGCACCCCCTCTCCCCCCTCTTCCACCGTTGTCTGTCGGTCGTCGTCCGCTTCACTTCCGCCGCACATCATCATCGTTCGCCGTGGTGTCGTCCAAAAAGAAGCGTTCCTTTGCGTGCATTTTTTTTATTTTATGCATAATCTCCCTCCTTCACGGTGAAAGTCCAGTTCTTTTCTGTTCGAAGCTCTCGCATTCTCAATTTTTTTTTTCTCTTGCCGAGGGTGTATTGCGTGGTGTGTTTTGGTGCGTTGAAGGCGAACCTTGACGTCGGTGCGGGCGTGAGTCGGGCATCGGCTCTCGCGTTTTGTTTTGACGGCTGGGCAGGTTCAACATTTGGTGCTTTTTTTTTTTTCTCTTGAGAAATTGGGTTTGACAATGGAAGCGTCTTTACGATTGTTTACTCACGTTTCGGCCGCCTTCATATCCCGGCTCGAGATTTGTCCAGCGACAACCGTGTACTTAAAGAGACGTCCCGCTTTGCACAACCCGGGTCCATCTTTGGCCGGAATCGATTGGCACGCTTGGCATTCTGTAGGAAAACTTCCACACATTAAAAGAACTTTTAAAAAAAAATTTCATTGCCCTCGGTGTATGAAATACCACTGCCAGAAATAGGCTGTGTGTGCAGCTTTTCGTTTTTCTTTGCCCCTCTGACTTGTGCTGCGTATTCCCTTCCCTCATCACATACATTGTGGTTGTCTCAAAGTGCGAGAGGGGCGTGTCTACATCATGTTTCTTTTTCCTCCCTACCTGCGTTTTTAAATGTGTATTGTACCTCCACCACATCTCAAATAGCCGTAGTTTCGTAAGCCATGGTTTGTAGGCAAGAGTCTCTCCGATTTGGTCTTAAGAAAAAGGAATAAAGCATTACATTCCAAAGCTGTGGTCCGCAGGTTGTCGTTTCTGCTCAGTGTCTTTCCTTTATTTTGTTTGGCGGGTTAGTAGGATGCTTAGTGGTTCGGAAGTTCAAAGCTACGTCTTTTCGTCCTAAATAACTGTCCCATTGAGGGAAAAAAATTAAGCATGCCAATGAATGCAAAGATAAAAAGCTAAAAAAAAAAAACTACTAGGACCATGGGAGTGTTTTATTTTTGCATATTCAGAGGCTCGGAACTTCCAAACAAGTTTCTCCTACCAAAGGGTTCAGGCTAAAAGAACATCTCAATGTTAGTTTTTTTTGTTTTTTTTTTCTCGGCGATTTGTTGAATTTGAACAATATTAGAAATCTTATCCCACGAGTTAATTTATTCTTCAACGTAAAAAAACAAATACATCATTTTGCATTCTGTAGATTGCAATATGTACTGTTTGTGGAGTTAATTTAAATGCAATACCTCAAACAATGAAGACAAAAAATGACCAAGTTTAGGCTGCTGGCCACTTGGTGAGCTTTGATGGTCGTAAAGGCTGGGTGCCAGTTTGTCTCTACTCTAAATTATAGTTGGAGTTTCATGATCCGGCACCAGCAATGCTCCTGTTTTTTCGACTGTCTGGGGATGGTTTGTGGTGCATAGCTCCAGAATTGAAAAAAGCTCCTGCATTGACTGCAAGATTAAATTAGCTATAGGTGGTGACCGGTTTTAAGAGTACAGTGGAAGCTCCTCCTACCTCTCACTTTAGCAGAGCAAAACTATGGAATGGCGGCCAGTCGCCAATTCGTTATAGTCCGTTGCAACTCAAAAAGGTAGGGTGAGGGAGAGGAGGATGTTTCCCCCTCTCAAGAGTTCTGTCTGCATCCCCCTCCCCAACCTTCCTTTCCCTCACCCTATCGAGCTGATTTCAAGTTGGAAGAGTGCCACATTCCGAGCACTGTATAAAAACCTATAGAGTGGTGGAATGTCTCTGCTTGAATGTTTTCTTGTAGTGGTGGACAGTGTTTATAACTTAGCAGCCTTGTGCAACTCTGGGTCAATGGACACTTCCAACGAAGTATTCAATGCCAGGATAGTGTGGTTCGTGCAAACTAGAGACCAGGGGTGGGACAGCTGTGCCAATTGCGCCATTTTGATGCATTCACAATTTTCTGGGCCTAAGATGACGGCAGCACTAGATTCAGCGAAAGGTAAAAGCTCAATTGACAACTGTGGCTATTCCATTGCCAAGTGGAACAAGCCGTCGCCCAATTTCTTGGTTCAGCCATATCTGTCCAGATGCATTCGATGTATAGTACATTGCACATGTACGATGCAACAATGTAGCATGTAACGTTCATGTTGCGGTGCTTTCTCCACAACACTGCTTCGTTATACAGGCACCTCGGCTATCCGTTGTTGTCTGAAAAGCAGGTATGCAAAGCGCAAGTTCCGTCTGCGGCTTCCACGGGTTGCGATCAGGGAGGCGGGAAGCTTGTGGAAAGACATGTCCTCAACGATGACCTAAATCCAGAGACGCTATTAGACATAAAGGAGAGAGCTCTTTTCGTCCAATTGCGTCTCGGTTTTGGTCATCGTCGAGGGCATGTCCCTCCACGCTTCTGGCTTCATCTCTAGTGGCGTCATGTTGCCTCCAAAAGTTTCCTACCTCCATGGTTGCGATGATGTCGGAACACCAAACTTTTATTGGACGATTGAAAAAAAATCGTGGGTAAAAATCGAGGCATCTAGCATCGAAGTCTACCCACCATCCTTTCAATCGAAGCCAATCGGACCGGTGTCGCTGCAACGCCTGTGCAAGAAGAGGATGACTTGCTCTCTGTATTCTCTTTTCCACTTGATCCTGCTGGAGGAGGCTATCTAGCACTACACTGTAATGGACATCGTTGGTAAATCACTTAAGTCAAGGTTGAGGCGATATTGAAACAGCATTCAACATGCACCATGCAATAGTGATCACACACATTGATGCTGGTTCACATCAAAATGGACAGGAGCAGGGTTGTTTCACATAAAGCCACTGAATCTTGATAAAGAAATGACAAGCTCCCTGTTTGGTCCACGGAACGTGCATTTACACAATGACCTCTGCTCTAGGCAAGCCGATACAAATTTATGGCTAGCTCTATGAAGACATTTTTTGTACAAGATTTTGCTAGCAACACACCAGTGAAACAACCACACATCTTCGCACTGCCACCACATGCGGCGTTGGTGCTTGGTGGGATCGAAATATTTTCCCGTCTTGACATGCAAGAACAATTTCATTGAAATATATCTGCGAAGATTACGTGCAATTAATAAATTGATTCGAGACTCTGTGCCAAGGGCACTTACATTGGCGTGGAGTGCATTTAGTATGATGACGCATCATAACGATCTGAGCACGGCTGGTTCAGGACGACACTTTCCAAAGTATGAAAGGACTGAAATGACGATTGCCATGGCAACAGAGACCTATCCGCCAATTGCCTTGCGGGATTTTGGTTGTCTGTATGTTTGGATCCATTTGTGTCCAGTTAGCAGGCAGGAAAAGAAATAATGACTTATCTCCTGTATCACTAGTTGTGTGCAGTGCAGGCGAAGGCAACGCCAGGCGAAGAGAGAAGGGCAAGCGCTAGGAAGGTGGGATGAGAGAGGGGGGGGGGGAAAGGGAGAGCACTAGAAACGTTAGGAGAGGAGGCTACTCCCCTCCTCCTCAGTCTTTCTAGTGCTTGCCCTTTTTCCCCCTCTCCTGGTGTTGCCTTCATCTGTACTGCATGCAACTAGTGACATGGAGTAAGGCTTCACATGCTGCAGAGCCTTCCAGAACCACGGATGGATGAACGTAGTGAGCGGTAGCTTACCATTTTGCCTAGAAACTATCCGTTGTGCATATCCAGCAACCACCTTAGTTACAGGGATGGGTGGCAATGTTGCGGAGTTGCCACTCTGGAGTTGGAACAATTTTGGGAATAGAATTAGCAGATTCATTTTGCCCCGAATGGAGTGGGGATGGATTCTGAAACAGCATCGTTGCATTTATGTGACCGAAGCTCTAATTATCTGATCGGCTCTTGCTCCTTCGAGGATAAAAGTGGCTCCCTCAGTGAAGCAACCAAAACTGAATAATTCTAGGTGGACAAGATGTTGTTCCTGGTGCTGCGGGAAGCGACTTGTGACCATACGTGACTACACTACCGGTTGAATGCCACCAGGCGGGAATGGGGCCGTACCACCCACCTATCTCGGGGGCAGGCCTTCTCACTCCACAGAGGCGCACGCGGTCAAAAGTGCCACGACTGGCTCATGTTCCTGTGACCGACGGGTCAACTTCTTTGTGGCCGGCACGTCTCAAGTCCTAAGAAGGCCCGCTATGCGTAAACATGGAGTACCAGCCGATGCTCTCTTATGTTTCAGGCTGCTGTGGCTGACACAGTCAGTTGCAACGCAAAGGAACTCCAGCAAGTCGGAAAATGCGGCCTCTGCGCGTAGGAAGACGTGGGGTGAAAGTTCACCAACATGGCGTCCGGAGAGATTTTGAACCGGAATCGTCTTCTTCACGCTGCCACCTTCGTGAACCGGGCTGTGGAACAAGTTCCATGCGTGCCCAGTCGCTCCTGCGGACTATCGAACGCTACGGGTGTCCACGACGGAGCGTCTCGGCATTTTCTCCCGGGTGATGGCGCTGGACCAGCCGAAAGGTGTGTGTCGAGCGGCCATCTTCCACCGCCACAAAGAGAGAAGCGGTTTTGGACACTCTGAGACAACAATACATCTAGCACCATTTATTCCATACCCTACGACGCGTGCCGGTAGTTGGGGAGCGCATCATCCGCGTACGCTTCCTGCAATGTTTCGCCCGCGAGTCCCGTCTACTTCATGTCAGTGTCTGTCCCTTGCGCTTCACAATTGCGAACCCTTTTAAGCCGGACAGTTCAACACCAACGGTTCGGTGAAATGCTCTGCAGTGCAACCTGGGGTGTTTGGCCTACTCGAATTTCCAAGTAGGCAACATTGGAGAGTGTTTGCAGTCGTCGGTGGAAGCCGATGTTATTAGATCGACCCGCTTGTTGAACTCCCTCGAAGGGGGGCATCCCTCCTCTACCCCTCAAGCCTGCCACCCGTTGTTCGAAGCGCCATCTAGCGGCTGCGTTTCAAAACTCTATTTTTCGGAGATGCAACGGCGAAGCGCCGCCTAAACGCTGTGCAACAAAACCTGCACGACCGTAGTTGCCATAGCAGCCGTCCCTCCAAGAAACGACACGTCCAACGACGGGAGGCACACCTTAGAGGGAGAGGGGGTGCTGTACGTGGAAGCAATGCAGTGTTTATGGGCAGTTCCAAAACCGAGTTCATCTACAAGGCGTATCCAAGCGCTGTTTGTGCATACACATTTTTGTTTTATTAATAAATCCACCAACTGAGTGCAATAAAACCTTTTAGAAAGGTGTCTTTAGGTGGTGCATTTGTGATACACAAATAGTGTGAATATGTTATATAAAAAAATATTTAAGCCTTAAAAAACAAGTTCTTTTCATATCACAGCAAGGAAGACAGCACAAACCTTCTGGTTGACGTTGCCACTCACAGATGGCACAACATAAAGCAAAATCGTGAAAACCTACGAGATGAACAGCCGAAATCAGATGCAACGTATCCGAGCATGCGTAGAACCATCCAAAAGTAGCAGCAACAACTGCCATAACACCCCGAGAGATGGCCCATCCCCCAAAAAATAAGCACCCATCCCTAGTTTTGGCATGATTTCATATTTTTTTTTTTTTTCAATAACACCGAAAGACAGCCCACTTCTAGCAATTACAGGGCCCTGGCCAATGGTGTTATTTAGCCACAGCGGGAGATATGCGAACATTACCGACTGGAAAGGGCAGCCGTTTTATTAGTTTGCCCCTCGCTGCTGTCAGAAGTTTCGCAGGTCGCAAAATCTAATATTACTGTTCTTTAAACCGAAAGTTAGCCCATTCATTATTTTCACTCGATTCGCTTTCTATTTCAGGTGGGCTGTCTCGAGATATTACAGTAGACGGTATTTGCTGTTTTCCCTCTTGCACATATAGGAAATAACAGATTTCTTCAGGCTTAAATGTTTTTTTGTAAGCCTACACTGATAAAATTTAAGTATGATAATTGGACCACCTAACGACACCTCCGTGGAATGTTTGAATGCATTCTGTTTGTTGGTGTGTGTGTATATATATATATATATATATATATATATATATATATATATATATATATATACAAATCTCTTTATGCCCAAACAGCACTCAGCGGTACCTGGTAATAACACTGACCGAAGCACCCTGCCATGCTGCTGCAAGTTGTGCAGGTAATCAGCTTGCACCCCGGGCGGTGCCACGAAACGCCCACTGAGACACAACACAATCCGTCTTCTTTATCTACGCTATCCACGCAAGAAGTAGCGCACTACTGGCCTCGCCCGAAGCTAAAAGAAGCCCGACTTCTTGTTCTCGGGCGGTTCCGGCGGCTTGGCTATGATCTTCTCTATGTCGGGGACGGTGGCCGACAGCGGTCGGTCCAGGATCTCGTCCAGGTCGTTCTCCTCCCTCAGGATGCAGAAGTAGATGAGGAACGCAGCCGTGCTCAGGATCACCGAGTAGCGCTGCAGGGCGGGCGGGTCGTGGTCCATTCTGCGGAGGAATCGGGCGCACCATGTCAATACGGAATTCTGTGATCGCCTACTTATGGTGATAACTCAATCTATGGGCTCCATGCATCCTGAAAGACCCGAAATTACACACGTGGGCGGCCAATTTCCCTATTAAAAAATTTAATCAAAGATTGCGAAGCGCCAGTCTTTCTGCATCTCGGAGCAGACGCCAGGGTGCGACGTCGGCTTCTCAGTAGGTAGTTCCAGGCTTCTTTTTCTTTTAACAGCATTTTAACTCATGTGATTCCCTCTATAACGAGAAGATATGACGAATAAAGAATAAATAATCACAAATTTATGAGTTTAAATTATGTTTAAACCAAGAAACTGACGCCACATCCGTATCCGCTCGGTTTTTTTCGCCTTGTAGCGCCGTGGCTGTTGGTGATCGCTGGCGACTGCAGCCGTGTAATCGGCCGTTTGCGCTCAAAACATTGCACTGTGCCCTGGCGTTAGCACCCGTCACAGATTCGTGGCTAAATTGAGCGTGTGGTTGTCTTGTGAACTGTTCCCAAAGTGCTCGCTATTCTGGCGGACGGATATGTTGCAGCGGAATACTGGAATATACTTTTGAACTGCTGCGCCAAGGGAGCAAACAAGCAACCTGCCAAAGTCAATGGGAAAAGAAATGCGAAAGCAAAAACAGGTCACACACTGCTAGAACAAAGCCGATGGCAGCGTGCAACTCTTATTTACCGGGCAGTGTGAGCTGGACTACATTATTCCTTTCCTCTCTTTTGTTCTTAGTTCCTACCAACGTCACGAAAGCAAGAAAACAAACGTGTAAGGTGCAGCTAAAAAAAAAAGAAAGTGAAGCCCTTTTTTATTTTTTTTTACTAGTTTCGTCGTGTTGCTCTTGCTTTGTTTGTTGTGGACTCAACACCAGCGGTGAGCACCACCTGCTAATTTTGAATGCTCCTACCAACGCCTTGTGTAATCGTTGTCGTTGAAAGAGGTCTTTGCTGGGCGATTTGTACCTTTGTATCGTCTGCTAACTTCATTGTTTCATTCGCCATTGTTCGCAACTGTTCCCCATTTCTTTTTGTTTTCGTCTGGGATGGGGATTCCATCTCTTCTGCAAAGTTCGGAAAGTGTTTGCACGGTCATTTTTCTCGTTACTTTTTGTTTTTGTAATGCTGCAGAGGCTGGTGCGCTTGCTATGGTAATTTTAACATATTGCTTGCGCACGTTCTAATAATCACCTATTCAGGTAAGAAATTGTGACAACGCAGTTTGTAATGGATCAACAGTAACCTCTTACGATGTAGTTGGAGTAGCTAAACGCCTTTTTTCCGCTTCCCAGATGTGCTTCAAACGCGTGTTTACGAGTTCATAATGACACTTCAAACATTTTCTTTATTTTTGAAACTAATTGTCCAAGAAATGTTGGAAGCATATAATAATATACTTGAGGGCTGACGTGCAACCTCGGTTTTCTGCAGAGAAGATAACCTTCTTGGGGCTCCCCTATCCTAAGCTGCGAGAGAAGCCAGGTTGGAGCAAGGTAAAAAGTGGAGAGGATATAGGAAAGGAGGAGGCGGGCAAAAGCGGGAAGCACAGAGCGTACGTTGGCCTTTAAACTGCATTTAACATATTTTTACCCCTTATTGGATTCCTTGGTATCACTTCAACCAGGAAGGAAAAAATGACAATGAGTAGTTGCATACATGTGGAGAATGGCTCCCATCAAATTGCAAAGTGTATGAAAGGTTTACCGTGAAATAACAGGAAAAGTGCTCGCAGGCCCATTTTACTGCAATATCAAAACATGTAAAAAAAAACATGACTTTATGAAAGTACTTGAGGATAACAGAAAAACTGCCTAGATAATTTAAAAACACAATTTGAAAAGTGTTTTTTTTTTTTGCTGTTGCATTCTTTGTTTGTTCGAAAAAGTCACCAAACTACAGGTGCCTCCCACATCCACTATTGCTGGTGTGCTGCTGCCAGAATAGTGGCAGTCCGTAGCATGACACAGGTGCGATGTCTCCAGCTGAATATGTGACGATAGAGGGACCAAAAATGCCGATGCAGCAGTCAGATGTACATCCCATGCAATATACTGCTCCGACGCTCGTCCGAATAGAAAGGGGCAGGTGCGTCGCGACAGCCAATCCCGTACAACATCTCGAACTGCTCCGCGCAATCACGCCGTTTGCTTTCGCGTCCCATCGGCTTCGACGCGGTGTTGGTTCGGGCGGGAATGACTACATGCGGCTAAACAGTCGCTGCAAGCCAAGCTAACAGGTACGAACAATTAACGCTGCATTAACCACGAGTTACCGAGGGTTCTCAGCGACGTAGAAAGTCCTCGGGCTTTTTCTGGACCTCGACTCTGCATCTGCAAGAGGGCTTTCCCCAAGGACAAATCGAAGCGCCGAAAAAATGCCGCTGACGGCGAGGGAGAACTGGTCGAGAAGCAGATCAATCTGGTCTCAAAATCTCGTCTGGTGTTCGATCATAAGAAGGCTTTACGGCTTCTCCCACATTTAAAGACGCAGCGTCGATGGGTGCCTGGAACCCTGACAAGACGCACATGTCCGCCACTTTGCAGCGACTCTCGCGGAGCTTTTGCGTGCTTTACGCTTGCCCGGTCTTCGAGGCATCGGTTTGCCGTTCTACCATGCCCGCGCATCGAAAGCGGTCTCCAAGCGGCAAAGGACAGAGTCGAGGGAGCTGGTGCGTTGGACTGTAGGATACCACGGTCCGGGCGGTCTTGGTCATAGAAGTACCGACAAAAATGGCGAGGGACCCGCAGAACAGGAGTCTGCTGCACTGACCTCCCGTGTCCACACTACCATAGTTGGCGCAGTAAAGATTTGGCAACATCGTTAATGTTGTCAAATCCTCGAAAAAGATTGCACGCCGTTAGCGAGAATCGAACCTGGGTCCGCATAAAGCCCCTCTATTCTGGGAAAGGTGGTGTCATTCGTTGTGGTGGGAATGCTCGAGACAGGTGTTGTGCGCCACTTCTGGGAAGGACAAGGCGTCTGAAATCTAGCTCAGTGCTGCACTGTGTCGTCATGATCTTCCCAAGGGTTGCACGTGCACGTGCCTCTTATGTCGACGCACCTTGCACTACTTTTAAAATGTGAAAGGGCTTTAGGTCCGCCACGTGCAAAGCGGAGACGTTACCACAAACCTAGATTACAACATTGACGACCCGCTCTAAGCTCGAGGTTTTTGTAGCACCCGATGCCCACTGCACGCGCTCTCAGGAAAAGAAGTAACCAATAACAAAATCCCGTTGTAGCACTATCAATGCCACAAGCTTGTGCCGGAGGACACACTTTCACGCACTCCAGAACAAAAAGGAAACGAAAGCATTGGGAACAAGACGGTCAGATCTTCATTTTGTTCCGAACGCTTTCGTTCCCCACGGTGCTTGGACGCGATGCCGATGCCCAACGATTTCGCTGCGACTGCACTGTGGGTTAGCGCAGGACCGCTCATTTTTTTTCCTGGTGCCAAGGTGGCGCCCGGAGTCTTTGTGCCGGGCTTTTGCCGTGGAGGAACTCACATCGGCCTGAAGCTGTGCTGCGCTTTCCACTGTGCCGCCTTGCTGGTACTGTACACCACCGGCTTGTCCTCTTCGTGTTCTATGTCTTCAGGAGTGCTGCCCTTGCTAGACGAAGCCCACCTGAATGCAACCAAGTGTATACGTGGAGGTGCCACGGGAAAAAGAAAATAATATCACAAACATCTGAAAATAGTTTTACCTTAAAAAAAAAAAAGATGATACACCACATTTTCCGGATTACAGTCCGTGGATGCAGTGCGGACTATCTACGGATGCCGGCTACAGACCATTTCGCTAAAAAGAACCGAGAGGGAAATGCTCTCTCCCCCCCTCCCACCCCGGTGCGTCGATTGCTCCGGCCGGCGTGCAAACGCGGTGAAAAAACACACCGTTTCGGGATTAATCGGGCACAAAAATGCGGATTTAGATGTGCGAATTATCATACAATGTTCTACACGATAAAGAGACTAATCGGGCGCAATCCTACAGTCACCTGCCACGCAAGTAAAAAACAAAAGTGAATACAACTTTGTAAACAGAGCGGTTGGTCCGTCGTCTGCGGCGAAAAGTGGATGTAGTTGCAGTAGCTTTTTTCTCAAGATCGAGCCCGCACTGATTTAAGCCTTCAGCAACTATGTGTGGCGAGGCTAGATTTAAATAGTAAAAAAAGAAAACATGCTCACCAGGTATGAACCAACAGCACAATGTGTTTTTTTCAACGAACTTGCACAGAATTAAATGCCCGATGGCCTTGGATATAAAGACCTTAATCGCAGATGTTTTGCAGACGTTTCTTCTTGTGCAACTCCTGCACAAGAAGCAGACGACTTGCTCTCCGCATGGACACGGTGCAGATGCCGAAAATATTGTAGTCTGTTGCTAGTTTAGAATAGCGGGACCACCTCCTCTCGCAGGGCCCACCACTTTAGCAGAGTGAACGGTGGGGGGGGAAGCCAACAATAATAGCAAACGGAGAACTTAGTGGGAGGTACTTGACCCAGGGCTCCAATATGCACACTTGGCGAGGATTTCGGTCGCCATGATTGGTCGGTGCCAAGGTCAAGCGCAGTGCCAGCCAACCACAGCCGCCGAATTCTTCACCGACTTTTTCGGCAAGTGTCCTGCTCTCCTAAACCTGCGGCTAAACTATAGTGAAACATTACATCGTGTGTACGCAAAAGTCAAATTTGGGGGTTTTACGTGCCAAACCAACAAGCATCTGGCATGCCCCAGCGGAGGACTGAGGATTAATTTGGACCACATGGGGATCTTTTGACGTGCAGCCGAAAGCTCGGTTACACGGAGCCTCCTGTGCAATAAGCCTCCGTCAGATTGCGGGCACCTCGGCCGGGATTTGAACCCGCCACATGGGGATCCGTAGGCCAGCGCTCTCGCCTCGGAGCCACCGAGGCGGCTACCTCGCGTGTACGCAAGCACGTGTCTCGCACATATTCAGGACGATAATATGTGGTGCGATTTTGAAGAGCTGCAGTGATAGTCAGGTGGACGTGTTTTGCAAGGTGGTTTTGTCTATGCTTTACGTGAGTAATTTTGTGCGGGGCATTTGGGAGCGCTAGCACCAACGTTACTAGATCACCTCAGTTGTGGAACTTCCGCGGAGGGGGGTCCCCCCCCCGCACTCACTCCAGTTCGCCGCCCGTCGTTTGAAGCGCCATCTGGATTTTCGTTTTAAAACGGTTTGTTTCATAGAGTATGATGCAACGCCATCTAGATGCTGCGCTTCTAAGCGTACATATCCCATAGAATACACTGCAGCTACCAAAGCAGCCGTCCGGCCCATCGGACGACGGGAGGCGAGCCGTGCTGAGAGGGGGAGTACTGCTCGTGAAACCAGCGTCGATGAGCAGTTCCGTAACTGAGCTAATCTAGCACTCAAGAGCATGGTTGGAAACCGCAACGGCGTGCTTGTTTGCACAATGCTAACAACTTGTTAAACCATAAGATGTCTGGAAAACCAGTATCTGCAGTTTTTCTCGAGCACCGAACCCAGTGGCAATTTTTATTTGCTAATGTTTGAACCAGCAACTGCTCTAATGCAGCTTGAAAAGTGGACAATCTGTTACTTGGAAGTGGTCCGAGAAAATAGATTTTTCACCGCATCGCGCTGTGATTTACTACAAAGGTGTGGCTAGCCGGTGGAAGCTTAAGTAAAAGTAAAAAAAAAAAAAAAAAGTTTTAGAAAATTTATGTTGCCATTTCGTTCGCAGACCGGGCAAACTGTACGAGCCAATTTGGATTATGCCGTCGCAGACTGGCCGAAACAGATTTTTCTCTTTTGAAAGACGGCCTGCGACATCAATTCCGAGCGCTTCTGTACTAAATCGCAGCACGATACCTTGATTAATCGATTCTGGCGGATCGTTTAAAATGACTTCAAAGTATCTACACACGCACTAAAAGAAAAAAAGCGATGAAAAATTGTGCGTAGTTTCTTTTTCAGTGAGGGGGAGAGCTTGGCTTTCATGTGTTATCGTCGACTGAAAACACCTGAATATGGTGAAAGGAAAGATTGCAAACTCATATCTTACCTGCGTGAGGAATCTCCGATTAGTCTTAAACATGTGGAAAGCTGAGATCGGTGCAGACATCGGCTGCACAGCGCAAAGTTTGCGAAGGAAACTATCGTCATGATTCAACTGCGTCTCAGACCACCATGCCGACGACTGGGGCAACTGGGGCGCATTCACGTTGCTGCTCCGGTGTTGATTCGACCCCCTTATCCAGAGGCGTTCATTTATAAAACTCTTGCTACCCTACTTACTCTGGGAATCCTGGGAATCTATGCTGGGAATGGGTGAAAAGGTGAACAGAGAACACATCGATGCTATCTAGCGAGTATGTATTTTTTTTATTTTTTTATTTTTTTATTTTTAGCACTTGTCTTTGTACCGAGCAGTCTGGAACATCCTCGCCGCTGCCTTGCCCGAATCCCCCAGCGCTGCCACACGTCCGCCAAGCATGTAAGACTTTTAAAGATGAAAAGTGCATCGAAACTTGCTCAATTTAGGCCACAACCACTGTTATCAAAGACAATTGCTGGATCGCGCTTCCCACTGCTTCCAACTCCCGCGAGTGAAGCCACCGGACGGCCATCTTGCTCATAGACGAGTTGCGGCTTTTGCTAGCGTTATAGACGCTCGCGGCAGCGTGCTGAAGACTTGTTTTTGACTCGTTCGTTGTCATCCGTCGAAAATGATTTTTAAGACCTTGTGTAAGGATTGAGACTTGCCGTTAAAGGGGCCCCGCAAGGACTTTTTAACTGGTTTTTAATTTGCACCGAACGTGACCGCACTGAACGTATTAACTTAGTGACACTTTTCTCGAATTTGTTTTATTTTAAAAGTTATAGGCAAATTAAAATTACAAAAAACATGCAAAAAATAACCTCCTTCATGACGTCCTTAGTTGCTTTGGTGGCCGTGAACTAGAGGAGGGGTAGTGAGCTCAGCGAGCGGTCACGGCTGCCGCACTTTGTGTCGACAGCTTAAGAGGGCGCCACTAAAGCATGTTCTGGCTAGGCTGATGAAGCAGGCTGCCAGGGCGGCTCGCATTGCATTTGCTGCGCGATTAAACACTAATTCGGCATGACACTTCATTGGCCACAAACGACAGCAAACACGGGGTAAAGATCAGTTCAGAACGGGAACCACTTCGCGCTGCCATACTGCCAAAAGGCCAAACTGCAAGCCAAAGCTGCTCGCCGAAGGCCTTGGGAACACTCAGAACCAGTCGGATCCTCCAGTCCATAGAACCGCAGTGCCGCCGCATACATCCGGGACTTTTCTACGCTCGCCGCTCGTTGGTGCCTGATCCCACTACAGCTTTCTAGTATGCGCCACCTTTTCCACCGCTTGGTGGCGGGTCATTTCTTGTTTCCATACTTTCTAAACTGCATTTGTTTCTTTTCTGATCTAAAATACTGAACAAAAACTACTTTTATAAATAATTGAAACGATTCGCGCCACTTGTATTTCGACTGAAAAGAAGCTTTTAGTGGCTCTGACCAGTATTAAGATCAGGACCAAAGACGTCACATATTTTAGCCGGACGACGCGAAAACCTCCTCCACCTACGGGGGCAACCCACGGTGCCAAAAGCGCGCAATATGTGACGTCTTTGGTCCTGGGCTTACTACTGGTCAGAGCCACTAAAAGCTTCTTTTTAGGCGAAATACAAAATATAAGTGGCGCGAATCGTTTCAATTATTTATAAAAGTAGTTTTCGTTCAGTATTTTAGATCAGAAAAGAAACGAATGCGGTTTATAAGGTACGGAAACAAAAAATGACCCGTCAACATACCCGCCACCTAGCGGTGGAAAAGGTGGCGCATACTAGAAAGGAGTAGTAGGATCAGGTGCCGACACGAAAAGGTCTCGGGTGTACGCGGCGGCGCTGCAGTCATATGGACAGGAGGATTCGACCGGCTCCGAGGGCCTTCGGCGAGAAGCTCTGTCTTGCGGTCTTGCCATTTCGCGGTATGGCAGCGCGAAGTGGCTCCCATTCTGAACTGATCTTTACCCCGTGTTTGCTGTCGTTTGTGGCCAATGAAGTGTCATGCCAAATTAGTGTTTACTCGCGCAGCAAATGATATGAAAGCCGCTCTGGCAGCCCGCTGCATACAGCCTATCCAGAACATGCTTTAGTGGCGCCCTCTCGTGCCGTCAACACGGAGTGCGGCAGCCGTGAGCGCTCCATGAGCTCACTACCTCTCCTCTAGCTCACGGCCACTCAAGCAACCAAGGACGTCATGAGGGAGGCTATTTTTTGCTTGTTTTTGTAATTCTAATTTGCCTATAACTTTTGAAATAAAGTGAATTTCAAGAAAAGAAAAGTTTCACTAAGTTACTACGTTCAGTGCGCTCAGGTTTGGTGCAAATAAAAACCAGAAAAAAGACCTTCCAGGGCCCCTTTAAATATAATTGCAGGGCTCCTTTAAGAATTTGGACATTTTCACAAAAGCGCAGTGCAGTAGGAAAAAGCCACAACTCGTCGAAAGCAAGTTTCGCCGGTCTTGCGGCAAGATCAAAGCTTCCTTGGCACGCCAAAGTACTCCGTCTCTGTAAGATTTTGTACTACTGATTTGATTGCCATAAGCGTCTAGTAAAAAAACAATAAAAAGCGCCACTGATACCCATTCTTCCATCACCACTGGACACTGGATCAAGCTCGTTTCTGGACCGCGAGTGCTGCAAATTACAAATACAGTAATCAGAGTAAAAGTAAAACACTGCCCAGAGAAAAAGTTGTAAGGGTGCAGGCGAGCTGGTGAATATTAACCACGTCGAATTAACCCGAGACTGGGGTAGAGAAGCAACATCAAAACGTAGAAGGGACAGAAAACAGACAGGACGACGTCTCTGCCCAGAGGTACATACGGCTTCACACATTGCACTCGCAAAACACATACACACGGCGTTGAAACGAATCTTGATCGGTATCCAAGGGTGCGAAGGCACAGAGACGCAGCACTTCGGAATGCCAAGGAAGCTTTGATTAGGCCGCGAGACCGGCGACACTTGCTTTCGACGAGTTGTGCCTCTACATATGCCTTCACGCACATTGCACTCGCAAAACATTCACATGGCGTCGATTCTTGATCGATATCCAAGCATGTTAAAGGGACCATGAAATGATTTTAAAATCGAATTTCATCCACCGCACGTCGTAAAAGGTGTGAAAAGAAACACAAAAACACAAAACTAGGGAGCCAAAAAAATTATTTGCTATAGAACTTTTAAAAGAAAACTGGACTCTTTTGCGACTTCTTTCCTTCGAAAGCTCTGCCTTTTCACTACGATGCATCCGCGGAAACGGAGCACGTCAGCCGAATCCATGTCGCCTATTGGGTAAGAGCCTACCTCACCAGGACCGCGATCGTAAACAATAAATAGCCGGCGAATGTTTCCTAAAAGTTTTGTTAAATAATATTCAGATCCACATTTTGTAGCATAATTAGAGATGTGTGGCGAAAATTGCCAAATTTGATAATGCTTAGAGTGCCTCAATGTTGCTGGCTCCCGGCGCAGCCGGCAAGCAACATTGAGGCACTCTAATAATGCTTAGAGTAACTGTATATGCTCTGCTTGCCTATACAGTTACTCTAAAAATGCTGAGAGCCAAGCGCCATCTATCGTGTGGTAAACGAAGCAACTACTGCGCGTGCGCATGGCCGCCTTTTACCAACAATGACAGTTGGGTTGACTTCTGGAGTCTTCACCGGAAGACTCGCTGCACTTCCCAAAAGGCATACCGGCGTATGGGACTAGGCCCATGCTGTCGCTGTAGCGCAACACATCTCATTGAATTACGCTCAGCTGCGATGCGGCGATGAGAGGCGCCGATTCAGAAAATACGTCGGTGACATCGGCGCAGTAAAACCTACCGGCGCACCCCAGCTCGTCGCCGCTAACGCTCCCATCTCCTACTGCCGAGAGAACTTCCGGTTCCGGAAACAGCGTACGTCACGGCTTGTTTTGCGGTCAAGAAAAAGTCGATATTTCATTAATTTTTTGTGTAGAAGTTAATAAACCGAGACGAAAACGGATGCCTGTTTGGCATTCAGTGAACATTGACGGTTTAATGTAAAAGTTATCTGGAAAAAGTAAAAAAGTCATTTCATGGTCCCTTTAAGGCACTGAGATGCAGTACTTCGGCGTGCCAAGGAACCTTTGATACCGCCGCGAGACAGGTGAAACTTGCTTTCGATGAGTTGCCTTTTTCCTGCGGCACTGCGCTTTCGTAAAATTTTCCACGTGTTCACAACGGCGAGTCTCAACAGTTTCACAGGGACTTAAAAAGCTTCTTCGGCGAATGATGACTAACGTTTAGAAAACGTGTCTATAGCACGCTTCCGCCAGCCTCTGCAACACTAGCAAAATCGCAAATAGTCTACCAGCAAGATGGCCGTCCGGTGGCTTCACTTGCACTGCAGGGAACAAGCGGAGAAGCACAATCCAGCAATTGTCATAGAGATCAGTGGGCACAACCGATGAAAATAAGACTTCTTACCTGATAAAAGCCAGGCAATGTAACTAGAACCACTCAGTAGGGAAACTGCCATAGAGCCTGCTCTGAAAAAGTGGCGCTGATCCTTATCCCAGTACTGAGCTAATGGTGATCGCAACGCTGCAATTTCTTCCGCAGCGGCCACTCCGTGAACTGCACGGCTGCACTTACTGGTTCCGTCGAGTCACGGAAGGGCCAGTGGTGCAATCTCGCAGGGCCACCTTGCAGATTGAGGAATGGTCATCAATAAACAATTTAGCCATATAAAGCAACTTTCATGTTTCATTCAGCTTATCGCTAGAAGGTGGAGTTGTTATTGTATTTAGCACGGTCTCGGTGGATGCCAGCGGCCCAGGTTCAAGGGAGAGCTTCCCCACCGAGTGTTTTAGTAACGTTGAAGCCAGGCAATGAACTTGTGCTTCCAGCGTAAAACAACACCGGGAAACCTGAAAAGTCGATTCTACCTTTATTTCAAAGCAGTGTCCGCCGTCGGAAAACAAGGGTCAGCTTAGAAAACATACATACACGCGGCATTATGTAGTTCTTTTAAAATATAATCATCTTGACCTGCATCAACAACACGATCTGACTCGGGGCACAAGTTAGCCGAGCGAAATGACTGGCCAATATTTTCGGAAATGTCCCCCGACAAAATGACACGTTCACTTTATGATTCCACACTTGCACACAAGAGCCACCTACTGGTGCATAACAGGCGGCCGTCTCAAGAACATGAACAGATGATGATACACAGCAAGATCACGACACCAGACAACATTGCTTAAGATCTCTAAAAACAGAGGACTCGGGCGATACCGTGAACCGAAACTGACCAGGGTATCAGTCCGGAAGATTGTTGCTTCTGGTACCAAGTATGGCTTCCACGTCCAGTTCCATATTGATTCCAAGTGCTCGGAAGAGGTTCGGCAAGTCCCTGACAGCGGCATCCGGGAGCATGCCACGGACGTACATGTCTCGCAAGTCCCTGTGCACCCTCTCCAGCCTTCCAACGGCGTCTTCGGGAGGCGGGTAGGGCGGCGGACTGGGCCGCTGCTGCCGACGCCTTCTAGTGCCGCGTACCATCGTCGACAAATTCGAGCGGTTCTGCGCCGGTCGGCCGCGCTCCAGGGAAGGGTTTTCTGCTGATCGGACCTGTCCTGGTCTTGCCGGATGCACCCCACGTGGCGCTAGTCCCCCGTCGTCACTTGTCATTGAGCTCAGGGTCATGATGAGCGAAAGGCTCGAATTGGGAACGCTAGGAGATGACTTGCAGTAAAGCGCGTAGATGACGGCGGACACACAAACGATACAAGACAGTTCAAGCCACATGTGCGCCTGACTGCAGTTACGGTGGCCTAAAGCAGTGCCCCACCTGCCCGTGCGTTCACCACAAAAGAAAGTGAACTCGTGATACCCGCATCATATTTCGGCGGGCTTGGAGGTGCAGCGTTGCCAATGTTACTTTTGTTGTTATGCTAGGTGCAACCAACTCCAGTAAACCTTCCGTGAAAAAAAGAAAAAGAAAAAAAAAAGAAGCAGGAACGAAAGAAGTATGAGCCTGGAGTTTTTTTTGTTTTTAACTTCAACACTTTGATAGTTTTGCTCATGAACGGGCAACGCTGAACCTCGCATTTGTTTCGGTTTCGGTTTCAGCTTTGTCGCAGATGGAGCGCTGGTGGGTTTGCAGAGTTACCGAATTTTGGGCTACAAAAACCACCTTTTTTGAAATCATATTTGCAGAGGTTCTTGCATAAACACACATGTCCGCGTTCCATGGATTCACCAGAAGACACTGCTTAAAATCTATAAAAAGAAAGGAATCGGTCGATCCCTAAATCGGTTGATCCAAAGCATCCGTCAACGCTCTTGCCGACGCTCATGGGCTCTCTGAATCGCTGCGCTGAAGTAAAGCGCACATCCCGACACCGCTGTCGCTCCGCCCAAAACGACCAGCGACAGCGCTCTGTCGAGACGCGCAACGCCCCAGCACGTCAGCCCCAGATCCTGATGCTGGGCGGCAGCGCAGGCCAGTGTGCCGGAAAGGCTGAGCTCCGGCTGCTCGCTCAACTTATACGCCAGTGTGTCGATGGTCTCGAGGGCTTCGAACCGCAGCCTAGAACAGGCCTCCGAGCAAAACATCCAGAGGACCAGCAGAAGGACCAGGTTAGCGACGATAAGACAGCAAGGAATGAGAGCTGCAGAGCTGGCCTCCAGTACTAGGGCCACCAGGTCGGCCGCAAAGACGGTGTGCCAGAGGAACATGACGGGTCCCAGCGCGTTGTCCAGAACGCTAGTCATGCTGCAGAGAAGACCGTATGCCTGTCTTGCGCCTTCGATGGCCCTCGGGCTCAAGAGACCGTCTAGGAATACGGCGGAGTTGAGGTGGCGTAGTCGGGAGCCGACGCCGAGGCACAGGCAGGATGTGAGCACGGCTCCCAGCCAGATGTGGTTCCGAACCAATATGAAGCGGAGACACGTCACTGGAATGACGAAGGAGGCGGCGGTGGTGGTTGACGAGCACAGGTGCGCGGCGGTCATGGATGCCTGCGCAATCCACGGGACGAAGGCGAGGACGAGGACGGCGGTCCTCTTAGTTCCCATAAGACGTCGCGGGCCCAGGGCCTTCAGGACGGCTGCGAGGCCTTCCGAGTGCTTCTGCAGCTGAACCTGAATCGGGAGGCATCGACGCGGGCAGTTTTTGTCAGTGACCCTGCACTGAGATTAGAGCAACACGACTTTTGGTTGGGCCATTTGGTTCATATTTAGCGCAAACTGAACAAGGACGAGGAGGTACATATACGACGGGACTGACGCTATGACATTAATAACAAACTGAAGCGTAAGTCCTGTCGTATGTGTGCCCCTTCGTCCTTGTTCAGTTTGCGCTGAGCTGACAAGGTTGACGTCATGCCACCACGGTGGCGCTGCTGTCAGCACTGCTCATGCGTAGTTGCTTCCTCACGCGATTTTTGTTTCTGCCCACGTGCAGTGCCCACACATGGTGTGCGAATGCGCGTTTGTTTGTAAGCAGCGGGTTGGTGCATACAAGATGTTTTTTAGAGAAACCAGAGTTAAGAAAAAAGTGAACCTGCATTATGTTTTTTTTTTTTTTTTTTTTTTTAACTTGTGCAAACGCAACTTGAGCAGCTCAATCGACCGATCTCACCAGCTAGTTTGAGTACGCCACCGCTGCCAACATGCATCGTAGGAGCTGTAGTCCTTCTGCACGCGCGATAACCCTGCTGGAGGTCTGCGCGAGCAGAGCACGAGGCGGCATGAGCTGTCTCGTGAACTGGCGTCTGCCTCCTACGAACTACAGTCATGGCGGCGTCACGCATGCGTGGAACGCTTGGTGAGATCGGTCTATTGGTAGGGTGCCTGCATGCCTGTCTGTCTCAGGGTGAAGACATTCATTGTTGCCCTGAATGACCCTGCGCGTGGCGCTCTCGCGCACTCGATGCGTGACTTGGGCGGTAAAATGGCGTCTATGCATTAGCCAAAGCTACGCGCTCGAGCTGGGTGACACCAGATTGCGCGCACTTGAAAATGCACAAAAAAACGATTGGGCGGAAAAATGGCTGAGATGTCACCACTCAAGCAAAAGCGCGCGTGTGTATGAAGGCACTCTATCTATTGGGAGATCGCAACGCCGCCATTTCTCCCTCAGCGGCAACTCCGGGAACTGCACGGCTGCACGTACCCCTTACACATATGTTCGGGCGAGTTGGTTGCTTAGGATGTACAGGGGGATCAGCGCACCCGGGAAACAGTCACTCGAGTCAACATACACACAAAAGATCCGGTACACCATGTGCACGTACCGGTCCAAGTGAGTTGCGCGAGGGCCTGTGGCGCCATCTCGCAGTGCCATCTCGCAGTAGCTATATACCTTTTTCGTGTACCCTCGTCCTCCGCGTCACTAGTTGTGTGCACTGCAGGCGAAGGCAACGCCAGGCGAAGAGAGAAGGGGCGAGCACTGGGAAGGTGGGACGGGAGAGGGGGCTGTGGAGGGTGAGGGAAGCAAGGGTGAGCACTAGGAACGTTAGTGAGGAGAGGAGGTTTTTGTCCTCGTCTCCAGCCTTTCTAGTGCTTGCTCTTTCTCCCCTCGCCTGGCGTTGCCTTCGCCTGAACTGCACGCAACTAGTGACACGGTGTTTAATAGGCGCATCCCGTACGGGCGACGAAAAAAAAAAATAAAACGTTCCAACCTGTAATAGTAAAAAAAATAAAATAAATGAGAGGTGAAACGTGGCGACGGCAAAACAATGTTTTCGCCCATACTGAGGGGACAATTCAAGATGGCGGCGCCCTCATATAAATCAACTTTCATGTTTTGACTCAACGCTAAAGGGCGGCGCTGTAATCGTATCAAGTTCGGTCCCGGTGGATGCGAGCGGGCCGGGTTTCAAGGGTGGGTTTCCGAACTGAGTGCTCTAGTAACGTTGTACTGTGCCTAAGTTGGGCACCGGGCCACTAGCAAATAGGCTAAATGGGTTAATCAGTTAACTAATCAACTAAAATGTTTTCATTGCACCAGTTAAACAATTTATTCTTGTGGAAATGTAGTTGGGAGATTGACGCTCGAGCTCACTATAATGTAACCGTGACGTGAAAAAATCGTAAGCGCTAAGGGGCGAGATGTTTTCATCCGTGTACAAGGCTTGAAACCGAAACTTAGCCGACAAAGCGCGCCTGTGACATCGACCTTTCCGATGTGCGCTCGCGTTGCACTGCTCATGTCAACTGCAGCGCGAACACGTAAACTGCAATGCACAAGACAAACAAACAAAAACAAGCAAAACGAAACAAGGCGCGAAACGTGTTGAGCGCCAACTACCACCTCGCAGAAGTTGACGTCACGTCATTTGATGTCATATAATGATGACGTGGACACATGACATCAATCCCCTCACTAAATTTACCGGGAAAATTGATGTCACGTGGCTCGAGGTCCAATGATGTAGGCACGTGAGACCACAATTTCCCCGCTAAATTTAGTGGCCAATCAGAGCCAATCAGAGCTCGGCCTTCTGACGTCACAGCAACCCCTGCAAAAGAAGCAGACGAATTTGTGTTTCACATAGGCTTGTTGGAGATGGCCACCGTGGAACTGGAACCTTAAAGAAAGGTAATTGTTAAGTTTCAGTTAATTAACCTCCTAATTACCATTACGCTCGTGCCCTAAAGACTCTGCCACGACTGATAACTGTTCAAAGGAATTGTCTCCTTTTTTTAAGTGACATTTTTAAATTCTTCAACCTAAAAAAAAGTAAGAAAAAAAAAAAAAAACACTGCATGTACAGGGTGTCCCTCCCAAATAGTTATACATTTGTTTCCACCGCAAATATACACTATGCATCGTACGAACGCCATTCTCTACCCATACGTAGCGCTATAGAGGTCCGAACCATGCAAAGGTTTCAACACTAACCGTTATCTCATTCAAACATTATTAGTGATTTTCTAAGATTTTCAGTGGGAAGACTGGGTGAATCTTTTCCCCGTTTTCGGTAACTGGCGCCAAAGAGCTCCAGGTATTCGAAAGCTCTGTCGGCCGTCATTTTCCCAATGAAAATTCCAGAAAATCACTTATAAGTTTTGAATATGGTAACGGTTAGTGCTGAAACTTTGGCACCTGATCCGGACTTCTAGGGCTACATTTTGGGCTGAAAATAAGCGTTCGCCGATGCGTAGTTCATTTTTGAGAAAAACAAACAAAAAGCCTTTACATTTTTTTGGGGGGACACCCTGTATATAGATTTGATCTTAACGCTTGCCCCCTCTGACTGCATGACACCAGCTGGATAGTTTCATCCGTTGTTCCCTTCATAATTTCATACATCATCCTGGGCGTCACCAAATATAGCGTATTTACCGATCCCAATATTGTGGGTCTAGTTGTACATTGAGTTTTTATTTACATGCGGAGAGGATCTTCAACTGACTCGCTACTAAATTTGGCACGGTTTGCATACATAGTTTTGCTTTACTTCCAAACGAGAAACGTATACCCATAAAACTGAAATAATCTAGGTGCCGCTTTCTTATAAATAATGCTGCGCATGTCTACTCGTAATGTTTTCAGGGGACGTTCACGGTCACACAGATTGCCAAAGTAATTCTGTATGAATGATTCACCATGGCCGATTGCGCTAATGCCTAGTAATGTGATAATCAGCGATCACTTACCCTCGGGAATAACTTGGCAATATCTTATTTGTTTTCCAGTGCATACCAATCGAGTAATTTAGATACCCTTCGCACTGGTGGCTAAGGAACGCACCCAGGATATTTATAGACCATGAGGACATTCTAAGGACACCCGCGAAACCTTGTGTGCTGCCAGCGTGCCAGCTGACCTGAACGACGAACGCAGCCAGCAGAGTAAGCACGTCGTCGACGAAGCGAACGTTGACGACCACCTTCTCTTGGTGGGACACCTGTAGACCCCAGATGACCATGTAGCCCAGGAGCAGACACCACACCACCACCTTCCAGAGGATGAGACTGCGGCTCGATTTTCCCAGCCACAGACCCAGGGCCGCCATGTCCAAGAAGACCGGCTGAAAGTCCCTGACCGTTGGATTCAGTTCCTCGGGCTCTCCAGAAGATCTCATCTTCGTAGTCAGGGACACTCTGGTAGGGTAGACGCTATTGCAGTAAAGAGACAGGTCTTGCGATCAGGTGGCTAAGGCCACGTGACACGTCGTGGCGACATTTGTGTAGAGTGAGAAGGGAAGTAGTATTGGTGATGAGATCGGTAGCACGGAATTCAAGTGGTGACCTGGCAGAAGGCGAATGAGTTTGCTCGCGGTGTGAGGGCTCGCACCACACTGTATAGTGACGTTTCTGAAGGGAAAATGTGCGAATGAGATCGTTAACAATGGATCCAGGTGACAGCCTCGTAGTGTGCGAATGCAGGAGGAGCACTTAGAGAGTCCTTGATGTGAAACGACGCACGGTCTGTGGGCTGGCGCACCACCTATCTGCCGTCGTTGTTCATGAAACTGAGGAGAGCGAAACTGGCTGCACGCGAACTGCGTAGAAGACAGTCACGTTAGCTGGATCGATGCATGGTCGACGGCGCGGTTCGCACGCCAGGCAGATTTCGGATCGAATATTCGAAAAGGTTCGGGCGTGCATAACAGCATACAAATGGATGGCGTGACTAGGCACGGTTGCTTGGTTTTTGTACGCTTTGTGTGCTGAAATGCCAGTAGTGGACCAAGTGTGCGGTTAGGCTGGACACTTGATGAATGTGGCAAGGAGGCGTGAAAAGTGCAAACATAAATAGGCGCGACAATTTTTACGATATCCTTCATACTCTCACTAAATGTTTCTCTCACTCGCTATTTCTGCTATTGTTCTCCTCTTGGGCTACTTCTTTATTTATCTCTTTATATATTTAACCTCAAGGTCATACCACATTACATAAATGCATAATAAACATATGTTTTGTTTTTTTTTGCTCTGAGGAACCTAAGCGCATCTTTTAAAAGTACAGTTGGGTTGTGAATGGACAATCGATCTATTAACTTTCCGATTATTCAAATAATGCTTTTACCGGTTAATCGGCTGAATATTTAGCTTGAAATTTGTGGGAGAAAGTAAAAATGCTTGTTCTTCTATATTTGGCGAACATTTATGTATTTTAGCAGGCAGCACTGTTGTGTTCCACCCCATGGTAGACACTATCGTTGACAATCAATTCTTTCCAAAATTAAAAAAAAATAACTATTATAATTTATGTGTATATCATCTGTATACATGCTAATGGCGGCCTTGGCTAGTGAAGGAAGGATTGGAGGGCAGGTACCGATGCTGAGCCTTAACATTCCAGACGTTTGTTCGCTGCATTGTTGTTCAGTGTCACTATGACGAGACTTACAAGCTTCTATGCGCTCCAAGCATTTGAGGGTGTCGTATAAATCCTTGGAATGGCTTTGGCACGCCCAGACGGCTCGTATGACTATGAAATGTGGAGAATTTTATAGAGTTTTATTCAACTGCGCGTCTCGTACGGAGTGGTAGTTTCTTGACACTATCGAAACCTAAACATATGGAGGAATAACTGCACAGTGGATCACACCGCAACTTTTCGTTCGTCTGCCATTGATGAATAGACGTACTGAATTTTAACCACCATTAGCTTACAGCAATTGAGACTGACATTTAGTTGTGCGCAGTGCAGGCGAAGGCAACGCCAGGCGAAAAGAGAAAGGGTGAGCACCAGCAAGCACCAGGGAGCGAAACGGGAGAGGAGTGCAGAGAAGGGCAAGGGGAAAAAGGGAGAGCATTGGAAACGTTACACCTCAGCCTTCCTGGTGCTTGCCCTTTCTCCCCTCGCCTGGCGTTGCCTTCGCCTGTACTGCACGCAAGCAGTGACAGTATAGATGGCGCTGAATTTGTGAAAGGGTCTATTGTAATGCGGAGAAATTACCTGGTTTTAAAAAGCATTCTAAAAATATCCATCGTTAAATTGGTTTACCCCTGTTCTCTTTTTGGGTACGATACGTGGTCATGTTACAAGAGGGATAGTGAAAAGAAAATATATAGTTTTGATACTGGTTTTAGCTTTTACATCTGGAGGTGAACGCAACTGATCAATTGATTAATTAATCGACTATAGGCAAACAATTCATTGAGTTAAAATTAATATTCGACGCCCAGCCCTAGTCACAAATGATTGCAATTTGGTGGGGGCAGGGATGGGCAAAATACATGCAAATATGTATCGAAATACAAATACGAAATACTCCGTCCAAAATGTATTTAATTACAAAACTAATTACATCTCCAAAAAAGCATCTAAATACAAGATACAAATACAACCAAATGTATTTGGTCTCCTCCAAATACTTTTCCAAATACATTCGTCAAAATTTGCGTCAGCGACTTCAGGGCACCTGCAACGGGTTTCTGGGTATCTCATTTTAATTTTGCAACGCACACTCGGGAGTTAGTGTGCGAGGCTCTGGTAACGTAGTAGAAATATAATCACAAAAAAATGTCATCGGCTTGGACGTAATAGGTGAAAAAAGTACAAAGCTTGGAGCAGCTTTTTTTTTTTTGTCGATTACATTTTCGTATAGACCATCAAAGAACCGAGACGACCAAGACGGGCAGCACTAGCTAGAGAATTGTTTTATTGTTGCAACTCGCATCAGTTACGAAAATCTGGACGACCCGTGCATTTAGAATGTTCCAGGCAAAAATATGGATGGAAATCAGGCTGGAAAGCATCACAAGTTGTCAGAGGCACTTATTTAGCCAGTCTGTCTGTGAACGTCTATTTCGTCACTATTCTCGCCCTGGACTAGCACCGTAATCACAAAGTCGCTAAACGCTTGTGCTTGATTGAGAGACACTGCATTCGGTGCAGAACGTAGTTTTCTTCCTGCTCTGGGCAGTGACGATAAATTTGGGGAATGTATTTTCGCGCACAAAATTGTATTTAATTATAATTGTATTTGAAATACCCACGTTCTAGTATTTAAATACACACGTCAAATACATTACCCAATTTGTAATTAAATACAAATGCAAAATACACAAAGTATTTGAAATACGTATTTCAAATACTTGTATTTGAAATACTGCCCATCCCTGTTTCCCACTAAGCACCGGCGAAATTCAATCGCTGCAATATCGGCGAATGACAAGGCTAATATGTTTAGGGCTAAAAAAAAAATACTGTCTGCGCTGTGGCATTGCATCACCTTTCACCATACTCAGTGCAACTGCACAAACACTTTTTTTTTACAGTCGCATTTATTGAAGGCAGCAGACAAGTGACTCCGTTCGCTGGTCTTTCTGCAGCTTGCACGGTCCCGTCTCCACGCCAAGAGAAGACATTTAGGATATAAGCGTAACCGCCAGTCATTCTCGTTTTGCCTTCCCTCTACTTTCTTTTGCAATCTACAGGTTGAAATGTTTTATTATTTTTTAGTCGCCCATGGAGGATACACCTATTAGGCGGCTGGGGACGAGAGTAACCGATAGATGGTCTATATAGACCCTGGTTCTAGTCCAACTATACACCAACACACTCTTTAAAGACGAGCCGGCATTTGCCCACACCGGAGGTGAGCATTGCGGGAGCGCAGAAACAAGATTCGCGTCAAGTGAAGCTTCTGCGCATGTGCAGTGCCCACAGCAGCAGCGCAACTGCAGTGTCGTGACGTCAGAGATTTCCTTGCATCTCATTATCGTCTCGCAGCCAATCAGATTGGGGCCTTTCCAATGAGATTGGGGCAATGAGATTGGGGAATGTCCTGCGCATTATGGAAACGTACGCATGAATGTGTTTTAGCATCTGATTTTTTTTTTTTACTTTATTTTCTAAACGCCGTGCTCCGCTGGTACTAGAGGACCTCCAGGTACTACTGGTAGTGCTGCTGGTGCTAGAGGTACTCCAGGTACCACTGGTACTGCTGCTGGTGCTACGGGGTCGCACATGATCTTCGGGCAGCAGTCCGGGTAGGACCCGTTGTGTGGTCCTTCGTCCAGCCAGCAGTGGGAGTGTGGCACGACGCTTGGGCATCTGAAGAAAGACAGAGGCTCTGGTCTATAGACTCTAAAAAAGCTGGAGCGTATGTACCTGGTGTTCCTGCGGCTATACTTTTAAAAATGTCTACAAATGGGGTGATTGAGAGAAAAAGAAAAATTTTTTCGTGAACAAACTGCCGGCCACGGCGGACGCCAGGGATTGCAGGAAACATAATAATTAGCAAAATGATTACCTCAAATTAGGTCATTAAATTTTGACGGTGGAAATAAACATACGGTTTTAATTAGAAGGTTGCTGAGCGTCATCGAAAACCCCTAAATCGGTCAATTATAGGAAGACTCGAAGCTCGCGGAGGTGCGCTAAAGCTTCCGCTCGCCGTGTGCTGCAGGTGGAAGACTGGCAACGCGAGAACGCAAATGATCCGGAATCTCGCATTGCCATCCTTCGCCTGCTTCACGAGTGGGATCACGAGAACTCTGCCGTGACCAAACGCAAGTGTGTAAACGAGCCTCTACTGGCAACAATGATTTCAAGCGACGAGTGCGACAATATTTACAAGAACAGGAAGAAAATATGCTAAAGAAAGGAAAAAGGATTGCAGCAATTATAGAGCAATTATGAAGCGCTAGGGAATCACGATAGATACGAAATTGTTAGGGGAATATAGAAAGGAGTCATGGTGCTGGGGTAGGGCTTTGGCAATGCGGTATTATGCGTGAAATCTGACGTCCAGCCGAGCTTAGAGACCCGGCAGTGGAGCGTGGGCAGACTGGTACTGGGTGGGTGGGCATGGGAATACACCAAATGAAGGAGTGCAGGGATACATCGGCTGAGCATCTTTCGAGACTAGAGAGGCGATCAGTAAGTTAAAATTCGAACAAAGACTGGACACAGTTGAGGATACACGATGGGCGAGAAAGGTACACATGAAATGTTTGAACACTAAATGGACAAACTGAACCAGAAAACTAAAATTCAAATACCAACAGTCAAAAGCGGGGGCAGGACAGACTACCTCTGTGAAAAAGGAAGTAAAAGAAGCCGAGAGAAATATGTAAGAGGAAACAATGCAGGGAGAACCAGCTTTAGCTATGAATAGGGGACGAAAACAGGAAATGAGGAAGGAACATTGGTACGATAATTCACGGGGAAGCTCGTTGTTATTCGAGGCTAAAACAGGAGTATTAAGGCTCGTTCACACACATGTAACCGAGAACGATAAATAGAGACAAGACCGGTTTTTAAGCCTCTGACGACGTCTTAAGACCCGCTCCGCAGCAGCGCACCCGGTCCTAAGACGTCGCAAGAGGCTTAAAAACCGGTCTTGTTTCTCTCGGTCGTTCTCAGTTATATGTGTGTGAACGAGTCTTTAAAGGCCGACGACCAGACTCAAGATTCTGCAAGGCAGAACATCCTCCTCACCATGGGGGAGGAGGAAACAGGCAACGATGGACAGAGTAGGAGGAGGGAGAGGAGGAAGCGGGGGAAAAGTGGAAAGCGCGAACTGGTCGTCGGCCTTTAAGGACTAGGACATATAGGACAAAGTGTGAGGAAATGATTACGCGGTGTGCCGTATGCCAAGGGGAAGACGAGGTAATAGAACGGTGTTGAGGTGCACAGGGCTCACTCCCGCCTTCCCGGAGGGGGCGACGGATTTAGCCGGAGCGCTGGTGTTTGCAGACGAGTATGGAAGAATGGCTGATAAGTGCATTTTAATAACAAAGAGGAGATTGGAAGACTGCTGGAAATTATCTAAAGGGAACTGAATGACTCACAACTAGCTGAGACAGCTGGGGACAAGCGGGACAGAGGGAAATTGGGACTCCCTCGCCGGGAGGAAAAGGCAGGGGGTGAAGATTTTAGTTTTTTTTTTTTTCTGAATCCCCCAAAGGTCATCCTGGTGACATCCCACACCGCCTGGTGATAGTTAGAAAAATGCCGAGGGGGAGCAAATTGGCTTAGAAAGGCGAAGGAATAAATCATACTTTTGGTTTCTCCGCTAGGTGACGAAAGTTACAGCCCTTTATAAGGATACAGCCATTAGCATCCATCCATCCATCGATGACTTAAATGAGTAGCTCTAGAACGCTTGTTAGCTGGGCTAGTTGGTACCGGTTCAACATGATTAAAATCAGCGAACAACGTTAGGAGACTGTTGAAGAAAACAGAAGCCAGGAAAGACACTGCGTCTTTCCTGTCTTCTGTCTTTCCTGCTTTGTGTATTCTTCAACAGTTTCGTTGTTCGCTGATTTTCATCATGTTAAGTAGCTCTATCCGTAACGAACGAAGGCGGACCTCACCCTTCCAACGTGACGATCTTCCTCTTCAGGTTGCAGGTCAGGGTGTGGCAGTGCCTGTCATCGTGCACCGACTCGTGGTCGCCGATCGTGAAGTTCTCGTAGAGGCACTTCCCTGTAACATGATCGCAAGTATCTGAGCGCTCGTATACGGTACAAGCAACACACTCCGGAAGGACGTGCTTGTAGGTTATCTACAATTTTATGTAGCTTTATGTAACAGTTCTTTCCGAGGAGGTTTCTGTGTGCACCTTCTCCAAAGGCGTTCGCAACACCCAAAGGTGTTTACACACCGCGACACTGGTACAGCAAACAAGCCATCGTCGGTTTTCACTGCTTTCTCTCCCTCTATCGGTATTGAAGATCTCATCAAAACTACTACAGTGGTACAAAGGGCTCAGTTGGGGTAGTACTAAACATGGTATTCGGGCCACTTCCGGCCGCCATGACAGGGAGCCAAGAACACTTCCGGTTTGGTTTCGGTTGCATGCTTTTGAAGACAACATCACAACTATGTTTCGTGTGTTCTGCAATTAAATCAATCCTCTGTTATAGTCTCCGCGCCTACTGGCTTCATGAAATGCTGTAATATTTTGCAAATGACTGGGCAACCTCGCTGTGGCAGATCTCCGCAAAATTAAGTGAGCAGCGGCCGTCGATCGCGAACAGTGTCTCTCACGCGCGCGTCGATTACAAGCTCAACGCTAGGATCGCTTAATTTTGAAACCAAAGATGCACACATCCGACTAATGTTTATTTAATGATATGAAGATTTTAGCCCCACCATTTGGGGGCCGACAACTTCACTGGGGTAAAGTATGATATGGGGTAAAGTATATGGGGTAAAGTATGATATGATATGTTCAATAATTATGAAATCTGGGCATACGACTCTTCCGGACAGCGAAGACACTTACTCGATCGAACGAATTACACTTGAGTGCTTATGCAAATCAAGATTAATTCGAATTCGTCCAATTATAACATTTTTATTTTAGCAGCGCAGGTTTTCATAACACAGACCAACTTGGTACTGCATAAATACACAAAATGAGTCTTATCGTTTTTTTGTAAAACTTAGACCAGAATTACTTGCTGACGTAAACTTTCGTATGCAAGCGAGCTTGTGAACAGACGGTGTATGCGAGAGTCCTGAAAAAAACTCCAGGAAAACCCACACCAAACTAAAAAAAAAAAAAAATAATAAAGTTTGAGAGTTTATGTTAGTGGAGGACTTCAGAATGGGGGATTCGATTCCACGTCAATTTCAGGTACGTCAATTTCGAAGCTATAGAGAGCCAGAATTCCTTCTTTTCGGCGTGCAATCAAGCGTTTCTTCGTGACACAATCAAAACAAGACGTGAAGCACAAACCACTGGTGCCATCCTTTCGGTTTTATTACTCGCCCAAATCATAAAACAACAGCACAGTGTGTGCCTGCCAGCGTTTGTGTCTGCCCACACAGAACAATTCGAACAAATGCGATACGTCCCCATGCGAGTGTCGCGCGATCGTAACAAGTCGGACGCGAAACTAGTTTTCTTAACTTATGCATGGGTTCTAGAATCCAAAATAGCCTTTTGACGTCCGCGTCTCACGTGATCTCCGCGGTAGGTCGACGTTGTCACAATCACGATATCTCTACTCGTTGTCGAAAACGCACCGCTCGCTTTTTTTAGGGCACGATCGAGCGCGAATGGCACAGTCTTGCGCACCCTCCTTCAATTACGCTCGACAGGCTTAGTGTGGTTTCGCTTTGGGAAGCTCGAACACTCACGACGGCGACGCCACGCAGTTGATGAAGTGGTGTTCTCACACACGCTCCCCCGTGCAGGAAAAACACGAAACAAATACATACTGCGTGGAACTTCGTTGAATGCCCCATACGTGTAGACACAGGTTTCCACTGGGCCGGGCGTCACGTACTGCCACGCAACTTTCGCCACGGAGGCCAAATAAAACGAGATGCGGTGCTTTTTCTTGGCGCCGTAAGTCCAGAAGTGCACACGGATCTATCTTATATCCGGTTTTTGGACATACCGTTTTTAATTTTCCGCCAAGGAAAACAAAAAAAAAAAAAAAAAAAAAAAAAAAAAAAAACGATGCGCTGCTCATTCTTGCTCATTCAAACAGATACAAGAAGCTGGGCAACCGGAAGTTATATCTGCCACAGAAAGTTCCGCCATTACTCGTTTATGTTTTCCTTGGAATGCCATGTATATATATGCTCGTTTTCCACCCGAAGAAAAAAGGAAGTTTTGTGCAATGTTCATACGTCACGCGAAGTAGTTCTCACAAGATATGGTTGTCAGAGGAAAAAACGATGCTTTTGGTGTTTGAAACATGTAAAGCTTGATAATGATAACGTAGATCTAATCTAAAATTCACCTACATATATCTTAATTATTCACATAAAGAGGTAAATCACTAATGCTCCACAAAAAGCCGGACTTTTTTTTTTTTACCACGGTTAAACGGGTTTAGCCCATGAGGTGAAGTTTGATGCCCGCCAGTAACCTTTCGACGTAAAGTGCAAAAAAGCGCCGAAGTCGTTTTCGCGATAGGAGTATCACGCAATGTGCACTCAATAAAACCATAAACTCCCAAAACAATGTTTTTTTTTAAATTTTATTTTATACAGGGTGATTCAAGGAGAGGCCAGGCTCTTTAAATCGACTGCGAAATTCGGTTTCTTAACCTACCGCGCTCCGAATTTTCTGCAGTGTTGCCCACAGGTGGTGCATTTTTTCTATCAAATTTACAAAGAGTTAACTTACCTGAGGAAAAAGTAAAAAAAATAAAAAGGCTTAGCTCCTATGGAAACGCAGCGAAGTCACCGGTCTTTAAACATTAGGCCGCCCTATTGATTGAAGACCGGAGGCTTTGCTGTGCTTCCATAGAAGTTAAGCCTCTTTCTTTCTTTACTTTTTCCTCAGGTAAGTTCGCCCTTTGCAAATTTTATAGAAAAATGCAGCATGCACCTAAGGGCAACGCTGCACAAAATGGTAGCGCTATAGGCTAAGAAACCGATTTTTGCGGACGATTTAAAAAGGCTGGCCGCCATTTGAGACGATCGATAGTGCTCGGATTGAAGTATATCGCAAAATGAACGCTCCTCCAAAAAAATAAATGTTTAGCGCTATATTTATAACGTGAGACTAATTTTGAACGATTGTGACACATACTTTTATTTCGGGGTCGTTTTCTGGAAATACAAGGCCTCCCTCATCATGATATACAGTTTTCACCGCAAAAATGAACTACGCAAAATAAACTACGCACTACGCTAGCGCTACATTTTCCTATCAAATGTAGCGCTAGCGGACCATGTAGCGCTAGCTTTTCTGAAATTTTCGTCGACAAAATGGGAGCCGACGGTGCTCTCGAATACATAGAGCCGAGTGTCACTAATTACCGCCCCCCCATAAAAAAAAAAGAAAAAAAAAGGGTTTTATTTTTTTAACGGTTGTTTCTGAAATTTTGGCATGGTTCGGACCGTTAGCATTACATCTGGGAGGAGAATAAATGTTTGGTAATGCACAGTTTAAATCTGCAAAACAACAAACAAACTTTTGAAACGTTTTTTTTTCGGGGGGGGGGGGGGGGGGGGAGGGGGGAGTGGGGAGGGGGGGGGGGAAGAGGGGAGCAAGCTGTATAATCACGTTTCCGAACTGCTCTTCACGAGAGTCTGTGGACCTACATATTGCGACAAATATATTTTTTCTCTCGGGAAACATGATTTTGTGACGCGTGTTCTATCTAGGCACTTAAAAATGGAAATTACAGAGAAGATGCAAGCGAGCTGGTGAACTTTCAACATTGTAAAACCCGAGACGCAGGACAAAAGCAGAAGAAAAAAGGGGGCAACACAGACACAGGTTGAGACCTGTGTTGTGTTGTCCCCTTTTTTCTTCTCCTTTTGTCCTACGTCTCGGGTTTTACATTGTTGCAACTTAAAAATGTCTCGTTTTTTGGCGTCCGAAGTTAAATTAAAATGAATCGTTACTCGTTACTCGATCAAAACATGACTAAACATACATTCTCGTTACACAGCCTAAAAAAAAAAGAAAAAAAAAAAAGAACGTTAGTTTAATTACAGTCTCTTTTCACTTTAGCAGGGCGAACGTTGGGAGGAAGGTGACCTCATCTCCAACGTTTTCGCTCTTCTAAATTAGCGACCTTCGTGACCGTGACCTTCTTGTCCACGAATGTCTCGCTTCGTGGTAGGATAGAGTCTTCAGCCGCTGATCACATTCCGTGTGTTGTATTTCTCCCCTCCGTCCAGATATTCGAGGCACGTTTCCTAAGCGTTTCTTCCGCAGGTCGCGAGAGTCTCAAAAAGCCTCGGGCAAGAAAATGTTTTTCTCTTTCTTTCCAGGCCAAAGGTTACACATAACGCGGTGTACATTTAATCGGACCCGGATGTACTCTATACAGTAAGCAGCCAGCGTGTCATTTTATATTTTTTTGTGAGATCTAGTAGGAAAAAGGAATATATATGTTTTAACGCGCCCGATAAACGTAAAAGAACACAGAGGACGGCGTAATTATGTGCATATACGACTTGTACAATTTCTAGAAGGTCTGGTACGTTCGACAGACCGATCACATGGAAACTTGTTATCGTTTCAATAGGGATAATAGAGATAACAGCGTACCTGACAGGGAGATTAGCGCATTTTCCGTACTTAGTTCGCGGAGCACAGGGTGTTTGAGATAACTCATGCATAGACTTAATATAGGCTGATGCACCCTACGCGAACTCAATCAACGGTGTATTGTTCACAATTCTATCAGGACTGCGTGATAAGGTTGTTTTTCTTTTTGCAATTTGTAGAACTAGCTAATTAGCTCAGATTAATGAGCAGTACGTATTAAATGGCCGATGCAACGATTTTTGTACTTCGTGTGCAAATGCAAAAACAAGCAGCGTTTACTTTTCTAACACGCAGCCACAACAAGCGGCCACGTGATCTTGAGCCGATTATATGCCCCCAGTGTTGATCAAATATCCACGGGCTTTGGTTGGCGAAGCACAGGACACGCGCCGAGTTCCAGACATCATTATGGTGTTTAGAAAATTTTATTTACAACAGTGGTGTCATGCCCATAACAAAACCAAAACCCGAGAACGCGCTATGTACAGTATATAGTCTTTCAAGCTTCGGCTATTAGCGATGTGCGCGACCAAAAGCGTCGCTGCGGTCAGCTTTCCACGATTGGCCAGACCATGGACATATGAGCATTGTCAGATTGTCAACTTTGACGGTGTTAGTTCCGGTTGCGATGGTTCCTAACTTCCACTGTGCTTTCTAAACACACCATCGAACTCGTCGTCGCACCTGGTGGTAAGTAGCCAGGGTAACAACTGGTGGACGTCACGGCGAGGCAAATCCCAGTCGTGACGTTACGGATGGAAACCATTAGAGGGCGCCACTGAAATATCTCGGCGCTGACTGTCCTTACTGCAACGATTGGACACGGACCACTACCCGAATGCTTGTCGAGCTATTTATTGTCACGAGCCCAAATCGAGTGCTCACGCAATGCTCGGGTCTCATTTACGAACCGCATTCAAACATCGTTACCCCAGCTACGCCATCAAGTTTTGCGAAGGAGAAATTGCAAGAAAACGCTCGTTTTTGTTCTCGAAATTACACCGCAACAAAAAAGTTTTTTCGACAGTGCCATTGCGTAAAAGTGTACTTGGGTCTCACTATAATCGATGACAGGTCATAAGTGAAATGGAAGCTCCTCCCACCTCTTTCCATCTTAGCAGGGCGAATGCTGGAGAGGGGGCGACCGCCTCTTCAACTGTCGCCCTGCTAAAGTGGAAAGGGGTAGGAGGAGCTTCCATTTCCCTCTTGACTTGTCATCGACTGTAGTGGCAATAAGCTCGTGTAATGTTCAACATATTCCAAGCGAATATCGTTGAGGGGCCTCTTTGAGATATAAATTTGTGCGCCAACTCTCCTATACAAAAGTCGTAAAGCCCGTTGATAAACATTCCCGGTCCTGTCGTTTCCATCAGGATCACCTCCGTGTGTCTTATTTTCTAAAATATATTAAAAAAAAAAAACGCGCAAGAATTAACACACACACACACACGCATACATACGTGACTACGGGCGGTGTAGTCACTTGGGATTTCATAAAGAATAGCTAAAAAAGTTCTAAAAAAAAAAAACGAGTTGGAGGTGAATTTTAGAGTATTTCTATCCCTTGAATCTGATAATCACGTTTGTTTTTCCCGAAGATGTAACTCAACTCTAGAAAACACGACAAACCTCCGACCAGCCGTTGCGCCATAAAAGTATCGGCCGCCAACGCGTGTCGCTCGTGTTGCCAGGGATATTTCCCCGCACTGACATCAGTCGTAACGTCTTGTTTTTTTTTTGTTTTTTTTTTACCTTTTTGAGAATAGCGAGAGACGCGTACATAGCTTTCATAGGCGCTGAAGAAGCACGAGTGGAGGTTCCGAAAATTTCTGTTACGACAACGCTCCGGGAAGGAGGGGCTTCAGCGGTACTTTGCAAATGATTGTCTGTAATTTTCCTGCACTAAATTGGGGAAAAAAATAATAATTTTGATATTCGTGATCCTGGAGGCCTAATAAAGACGATTTAAATGTTTTTATTTAAACACAGAACCGCTTCATTTCCTTAAAAATTTCGCGCGCTTTCTTTAAAGATAGAAAAGCTTAGGTACGCGAAGGTTGTCTTGATGGAAGTGACACGATGGGATCTTTCTCAGCGCGCTCTTCAATTATTTGCATTGGAGGGTTGGCGCGCAAAACAATATTTAAAAAGTCAGCTATTTATTCTGGGATAATTAGCCAATTTTACAAATCGCAAAAAGATATATATGTTCTCTTACCCAATCGGATTGTGAACAATACTGCGTTGGTTAAGCACGCCTACAGCGCTACAGCTTTTTTTCAATGTTTTTTTTTTTAAGTCTTTGCACAAATTAGCTGAATTGCTGCGGTTCTTGAACTAAGTATATAGGTCTAAAATATAAAATTTTACGCGGTGCGGAGTATACGAGGATTGTTTTAAAGGTGGTTCGTTTTGAGGAGACGTGACGAATCTTGTGAATGATTGTATTGGACATGATTTCTGTATAAGCTTCTTTGTGCACAAATAATGTGTCATACATTAGTGTGATAATTTCATCTTTACATGCGAACAGTGTACCGAATAAGAAAAAAAAAGTTTTTCTTTCGGTCGAGTTTTGCTCCTGTTGATCATGCGTTTCTTAAAGTGTCACTGACATGTCTACCGTGAAAGTAGTAACTAAGAAGAAGAAAATCATACAAAGAAATACAGACCATCCTTGACCTTAGCCGGCGAAATGGCAATGTAGGCATCCGAGTGACGGCACAGCATCACCAATGCAAAAGCGAGGCAGCAACTCAGGAAAGCAAATCCGGCCATCTTCGCAATCCAGTCCTCAACGCGAGAAGTACCAGGCAGTGTACCTCCAGGCAGATCTTATACCTCTAGCACAGACAAGAGCTGGGGACGTTCGCAAAGTCGTTTGCCAAGTTCCTGTTTCTCTTTTTGTTATTCATTGAAGACGACGATCGGCTATAGGACTTGGGGTGGGAGGAGGGAGAGAGGGGGGTAGTTGTTTCAAGTTTCTTTTTAAAAGTTCGTGCTTGCACCTCGCAACCTTGAACTTGATACGCAGACATCGTCGTCTGTGGAAAGCCCGCTTTTTCTTGGAAGCTTTCTCTTCTGTCTGTTGTAATAAAGCGTAGTCTCGTAACTGGGAAATAAAATAGCGGAACAAAGAAAAACAAGATGGCGATTGATAGCAGTCTATCTCTCAGCATGGGGCTCGTCTCAGAGCAGCAGCTTTCGTGTTGTCCGCACGCTTCAATTGTCGACGCGATGAAGACCTATGGCACTGTTTTCTATCTGACATCCGCAATGGCGGGTAAAGTCCCGCCTGGCTTGCGCAACACACTTGGTTGTGGCTTTGGCGCGGATCAGCAAACTTGCGTCGGGATTAGGTTGTGATTGGCTCCTGTGCAACTTTTCAGGGCTAATCACTCGGGCGACAAACACCGGGCCGTGGGCGCACCCCCGAAAACAAAACGATATGCACGTGCGCAGAAATGGCGAAGGAGCATCCTCACCCCGTCCAGTAACATTCTCATGAAGAATGTGTGCAAGGGTAATATCGATGCCTTAGTGCAGGATCTAAGGTCTGCTCCAGCCAAAAAGCGAAAGCTGTTGATGTTTGCAAAACGTTAGTTTTGTTTTAGAAAACTGCTGAAGCAACCTCGACATTTCTGTACGTACCTGCGTAATCACCTTTACATGGGTTATACTGACGTCACATCGCATACTTTTGACCGCCATGTAAAAGGAGGAGAGGGCAGCTGCTTTTGTAAGAATTTTGAGTGACAGGTTAATCTTCTATAATCTTTTGGGAGGAGAATGGCGACGCCTGTGCAAATGCGGGAGGCACAAAAGGGGGCCCTGATAAGAGGGGAGCTATCTCTTCACCTCTTCTCTGGTGGTCATCGGAGCACTTTTTGAATGACGTCACGTTAATTTATTACACGATGGCCTTCTGACACGCAGGCGGTCAGTCACATTTCGTGTACTTATTTGTCGCGTATTTATTTGTATTTGCTCATCGTGTCCACCAAAATATTGGCAATGTTGTGTACAAGGCTAAAAATGCGCTTTTTATTCTTAAACGAATCCTTAAATTTCCAGACTCCGATACAAAAAATATAGTCTATAAGACTCTAATTAGACTTGTGCTGGAATACACCAACACCATTTGGTTTCCCCATACGGTGGAAGAATTGAACGAACTGGAAAGCATTAAAAAAAAAAAGCTCTTAGATTTATTTTTAGCGCATTTAGTAACCGCATTTCTGTACCGCACTTTAGTAAGCAACCCAACATTCAGCCGTTAGTAACTAGGGCAACGATAAATATATTAAAATATTTGTATTTATTCCTCCATGTCAAATTTAATGTATTAATTTTGAAGATTATATCACCTTTTCATTCCCCTGATCGACCAGGATCAATCACGCCAGAACTATAAAACAACACAAATTTAAAAACAAAGTTTTCAAATATTCATTTTTCCCTCGGGCAATACAAGATTCGAATTCACTTGAAATTGATATGGTAATGCTGCCTTCCATCGAACATCTCACCGCTGCACTTAACAACACATTTGCCTAAACCGCTTTTTAAAAGCTCATTTTTATTTTCTCTGTATGATCGCCACCGATTCCACTCCCGCAATGGCTCTCAATAGAAAGCCGCAGTATGGGTAAATAAATAAAAGTAAAGTAACTCCCCGAGCTAGTCATACTGCCGCAAACTGGCGGTGCTTCTTAGGAACTCGTGACGTGGCGGCATTCCAACGGAGCTCCATAGACCGCCACCAGACGCAATTTTCCAATCTGTTCATTCGTTTTACAATTCGTTTTATTGACATCTCTGCCTGCAGTCCAGACGCACTACTCTACACTCTAAAAATACCTGCGCATCTACTTACCCTGAAAACACTAAAAGAGCCAATCACTCCAATCTACGAAATCAGCTCAACGAATGATGAGGCGGAACATCCGTTTAGACCTAAAAATGAAGTGTGCGCTGTGACATTATGCAATGCAAAGCGTCATGCTTGCATTGCGTAATACCACAGCCCAAACTTCATTTTTAGGTCTAAACAGATGTTCCGCCTCATCATTCGTTGAGCTGATTTCGTAGATTGGAATGATGGGCTCTAAGTGTTTTGCGGTTAAGTAGACGCAGGCATTTCTTAGAGTGTACAGTGTAGGTTAGTGTTTCTGGGCTGCCGGCACAGCATAGACCAACGATAAAGAAAGAAATCGACGCAAACGTTTCGTTTCCGTACTTTTTTAATGTGAAATGATGTAAAGCTGTGCTCCCTGGAGGTATGGCCAGCAGGTTTATTAAGAATTGTCATGCCGTGTCGGTGGGACGGGTTCCTCTTTAGACGCCGGCGCACATCATCGTAGGGCAGCAGCCTGGGAAGGGCTCCACTGCACCAGCCGCCAGTTTGCACCCTTTTTGAACCGATTTCTGGGGACACCTGCAATCAAAAGAGATGAGCTAATTCGTTAATTTATTTATTTCCTGATTAATTCCTTCGAACAATCAAATTATTTATTTTGTGAAAAAAGTGTTACATGAACTAATTCATTTATGCATTCAAAAATTTCAGTAATTTTTTTTTTGTAAAACCATGTATGATAAGTAGTTATTTAATTATACAATTAAAATAATTCATTAATTTTTTATAAACGTAAACCATTCTTCGTTTCATTTAAAAAAAATAAATAACTAATTGATGATCATTCACAGTGCTATTTACTTCTCCAGGATAAGTTTGAGAAACGTTATGACCGGAGACACCTAATTTAATTTTTTAACTTGTTAAGTACTAGTTTGAGTAAGTTTAAATTCAAACCAAAACCCTGTGATTTCGCACACAGCTTAGGTACACGCGGTTGGACTAAATGTCAAATCAAGTGGAGCAGGGTTACATCATCACCACAATAAACTACAGCCTGAAACATCATACGTGGAGCTCAAATAAAAAGTCACGCAAAAATAGCTTCAAGCACCATAAGAACTGCAAAGGCAGGCTCTGCACCCGAGTTCCCAGAAAGAAATGACATCAGTGCGACTCCCAACGCAAACGCACCATTCTTCTGACGTCACGAAAAGGGAGGGGCATCCGTCAACATCCCCCCCCCCCCTTTTTTTTTTTCGAGATCGGCACTCAAGGAAACAAAGCTCTGCGCAGTGTTCAATGCGCATTCATTAAGACACGTGCGCTTTTTTTTATGGGTGGAACTTTTCTTGGAGTTCTTGTGTTGCAAGAGACTGCTGTAAGGGACTCAGAATTTGCGAGGGCTTCATTCTCGCGAATTCCGTCACATTTATTATGGCGAAAATATAGTTCCCGCGAATGTATTACCTTATGGTGATGAGCACAGCATACCGCTCCCAACAGCGAAGTATTGTGCCCGCCAAAATAAACTCGTTTAGAGTACTGAATTATGGCGGTAGCGTCGTCTGCAGTCTACGACGTTAAAGTTCCTCATACGCAGATCCCAGAAATAGCAGCCGGTTAAAGAACATCTGCCGATCAGTCTGGCAACGAATATCAGAAGGAAATGATTCTACACACCCGCAAGTTTTTTTGTTTTTTTTTTCTTGATAAAGCTTTAAATGCTTTTTGACGGAAATTCCCCACTCCCAGACATATGTTCTGCCCTCCTTACGTGCATTTTGACGCTAAATTTAGCGTTAAATGGACTTCGCGTGACGTCACGCAATCACGTGAAACCACTTAAAACTGTGACGTCACTTCACGCGACGACTTGCCACGTGACTGACAACGTACAATGTGGTGACGTGACGTGAGGTCATGGTGTGATTCGGTACTAAGGTGTCACATAACCTGACGCCGATTGCCGTCGGGTGCCGGGGTGTGTCACGTCCATCTCCCCCAAAATTAACGGGGAAATTAACGGACAATACGCTTTCGTTCACTCCCCAAAACACCCGTTTAATGTCTTCTAACCAATTTTAAAGGATTGCTCCTTAAATACTGCATTGCTCGCAGTAAGTTCGTAGATAGAGGTCGGTGCCAATCTTTTTAAAGTACTTATGCGCAATTCTCGGAGGTGCCTTTATTCAAACATTCTGTAAGCTCTGATATCCTCAATGCTTATCAACTCATCGAGGCAGCCGATTTTAATATAAGCACAGACGGACGACCAAGATCCAGGGAGGTGACTGGTCCGCGGTGACGACGTCACAAGGTTCGCGGTAAAAGTCGCCATTTTTACCCGTTTGAAACCCTGAAGCGGTACAATCGCTCATTCCCATCCCCCATCCTTACGTTTCAGAGACGCGTAATCTGTGCTAAGCCCTTTCGAATCAATATTCGCGCCATCTCCTCCCGTCTCTGACAGCGGTATAAAAAGGATGACTATACAGCGAGGAGTCATCGGACGAACCGCACGATCAATCGCTGTCTGCGGTGAACCAATGCCCCCAAGAAGATATAAGGCCGGTGCCTTTTCCCCCCTGACGTAATTGCTGGTGGAGCTGCGTCGCCAAGACGAACGCGCCTGCCGCCTTGCGGCGGCTGTGCGCTGGGGGCGAGTCGAGATCCGCATACGATGACGTCACTTCCAGGCCTTGTCTTCTAGGTGATATGGGGGACCGAGGTCACTCTTATGACATCGCTTGCGGATGCGCAGAGATTCTGCTTAACCGCCCTCTACATTGTCTGAAAAATTAAATGAAAAAATCTCTCTCGACACCCACACAGCGCACGCAACGATGGCGGACAATCACTGACATCGTGCTTATTTATATGACAGCCTGTTCAAACCGAAACGGATAGACTCAATATGTATTTGATACCGAATTTTGCTTTTGTTTAAACAACATTGAAAAAAAAAAAAAAATAGCAGACGACATCTTTGGGTTTTGGTGTTTTGAACGCGTCTCTGACTGGCGTGTTTACCGGATCCTCATCCGTGGTCGCTCGATTTCCGCCTGATGACGTCATAAAGGTGTCACGTTGGTGCCGGTCGCGATCCTGGCGGCGGCACAACAGCGAAGGTGGATGCGGCAGGTGCCTGTTCTGTCGCTCTCTATAGTTTGACAGCGCACAGCAGCTTCAGCAGCTTCAGCAGCTTCAGCAGCTGAGACGTGGTGTGCCTAGATTAGCAATTGTTTCTAGCTGCTCGAGCGGGGTCAGGTAGTTTATGGGCCGCGTTTGCGTGAAAATATTAACTTGTAATAGTTAGGGATACATAGTTACGATTAAAGGCGACAAAGAAGACGAGGACCAGTAATAGAAGACACACGCACACACCAAGAGCGCGCACTTGCAAACTGAGTTGATAAAACAGGAGAACAAAACAAAAACGTACATGCCTTATAAACAGAACACCCGTGTCATGTACGCACATCGACCTACTAATCTACGTTTATTCTTACTCTTGTCCCATCCAAAGACTGTAGATACGCCACCTCCGATTCATAGAGGACAATCGATGGGGCTCTAACGCACGCATCTTGACCACCCTTCTTTATAAAATACTACCGTGAAAATTTCTTCATTATTATGTTTCGGTTCCGGCTCAAGAGGATTGTTTCCTGAAACTTCAAGGCACAATCGCATCTGTTGCAGTGCACCGGAAGGTTCCCGCGGGCGACAATCTCATTGCCAGTGGGTGCTCTCTTAGTCGATCATTTATGCAGCGTCCGGACGGTCCTACGTAAGCCGTAATGCCGCATTTGCATGATCAGCTGCGAGGAAAAGTCAAAAGCGTTTATCGTCTGTAAGCGTCTCCGCCACCCTACCCGCTCTCTTCATCGCCCCTCCACAACGCAACGTATACCAACCTGCGGAGAAGGCATCCGACGATTAAATTTCAAAGGCTTTCTATGGTTTGAGTTGCTCCCTCTCATATCTATAAGCTTTCTATTGAGACATATGCCGACGGCAGCGACGGTCGTGTTCACTCCCGCTTTTTGCCAGGACTTCGAGCATAAACCGCCAGGATCGCGATATCCGACAGGGTGACACGCCGCTTCGGCACCACTTTCGGTGCTTGGGCGGTAGGGGGCGCTGGACGCTCGAGTCGTGTAGAGTAACTGTATAGGCTCTGCTTGCAGAGCCAGAGTATCGCGTTCCTTTTCCTTTCGCCGCCATCTCCGTATTGGCGGAGGAGTGGTCACGTGGGCAGAACTGGATCCGACCTTCGTGCGGGAAAGCGGCATTCCAGAGCGCCGAGTTTCGGGGGAACATATTTTCCGCTTTGAGTTCGCCAAATATAGATCTTAGACTAAAAACGAACGAACCGAAAGCTTAATAAGTCATTGAACATTATGTGCGTCAACTGGGTACAATACAATCTTGTTTTTTTTTTTTATGACGCGAGCGATGTTTTAGGACATCCGTTTCCAAGGTATGGGAGCAGACGACACGGCCGACGATCGCGTAGCTCGCGTCTGCGGCTCTCGCGGAGTGATAAGCGATCGGCACATCCGGCCATCTCGGCGAGTCGGCGAGCTCTCGTGCGAAAGCGAGGGGACGGCGTTTTCGTCAGCCGCTGCGTCGTTTACCGCAATGAATTGACGACTTCACTTCACACGCGACCCGCAGGATCCGCGGGTGCGATTTTTGCATTCGAGAGGGAAACAGGAAACAACGGGGCAACGATGACGGCGCCTGCGCGGCTCGTCGCCGCACGCCGCGCTATTTTCCTTACCCAGCGCGCCGCAGCACGCCACAGCACGCCGCGTCGCGTCTGCGCCTTCGCGTCCCCTGCAAAAACCGACCGTGGCTTCCCGCAGTGCTTGGCTCCAGAATGGCACCATTGCGGTACTCTGCTCCGCAAGCGGAGCATATACAGTTACTCTAGAGTCGTGCATTCCTGGTACCGCACTGGCGCTGACAGAACATCGCTGCAATCTAAAAAACTAAAGATTAAATACCCGTAAAAACAATCTTTTTTAGTGACCCCAACTGATTATATGTTCAGAATTACCAGCCTTTACCATTTCCGATGCGCGCAATTTTGTCTCGGGAAATTCGGAACAGTTATTGCGAAATCGGCAAGTGAAAAATGATGCCGAAAAACAACATTCAAATATTCCCGCGCTTTTCAGTGCCTTGACGTCAGGCGAAGGCAGGCTTGCGTACCGAGCGGGAGGTCTAAAAATGCACTATGCCGAGCATGCCGAGCATTCGCTTCGTGCGGCTGCGGAGGTTACTGCATCGAGCTTCCAAAGCATTTATTTGACACCATGTAACTGCTTTTAATCAGTTGGGAACAAAGTCTACAGTTCAAAGAGTAAAGCCCCTCCTCCCCTGACGTCAATTTTTCATTGTTGCCAGCAGATACTTTTACTTAAAAAAAACAGGTTGAGGACCAAAATTGTAGATTCAATAACTTCGCCAAAAATTATTTTGACTTAATATTTGGGTTAGAGCGATGTTTGTTAGTGTGTTTACCAGATTTTCAGACACATCGGGGACTATGAAGAAAACGCCGGAAACGCTTTCCTATCGCCATCTCTCAAACGGACGCTGTTGCAGGAAATACGGCTGCGGTCATGATCCTTCAGCTTCGGATTCCAAGATGTCGCCCTCGATCAATCGAAACGTATCCTAAATGTTTCCTGATTGATACTTACACTTCGATCATCAGCTTGTTGTCAACAGCCATGCATGTCCAAGCTTCACAAGGTTGCGTGCTGTGGCGTGTTTCCCCGTCAGCTATTCTGATACCGTTGTGCACACAGGCGCCTATATAAAAGAAGCAGGAATGAGTCCTGGAAATTTTTTTCATTAGCGCTTTGGTCGTACTTACATCATGGTGATATGCAGAATACGTGTACGGATCGGTTCATAATGGCTCACTCGTTCATGTGCAGGGTGTCCCTCCAAAAAGTTTGATTTTATTTCCCCATAAAAAATAAACCACGCATCGCTGAACGCTCATTGTCCGCACAAATGTAGCCTCAGCGGCCTGCACCAGACGCCAGAGTTTCAGAGGTAACCGTTATATTACTCGAAAAGTGTAAGATATTGGTAAAATGGTGGCCAACGAAGCTCTGGAATGCATGGAACTGGATGGCGCCAGTCCCTGAAAGCGAATTCCATTTTCTCTTCAAATTTTCACAAAATCGCATCAGTGAAAAACGGTTAGTTCTAAAACTACATGGAACTGAATGGCGCCCATCTCTGAAAGCGGGCTACATTTTCTCATTGAAATTTTCACAAAATAACATGACTTTTCAATGAGGAACGGTTAGTTCTAAAGTGGGCGGTAAATACACCGTTCGGCGAGTTGTGGTTTATTTTTTCCGAAGAAATCCTATAAATATTACCTCAAAACGTGTTTTTCATCCGATTTGCAAGGTTTTCTGTAAGGTATGGCTGTAGCGGTCGGTTGTAACGAAAATTTGACGCCGAAAAACCTTAGGCTTCTAAGAAACCTAATAAAGATACTTTAAAGTAAACATTTGACAGAGATCTGTCTGGTTGGGAGTAATTAATATTAAAAAATTCGAACACCAACCAAGCCCTTCTGTAGGGTCCCTACAGAAGGGATTGGTTGGTGTTCGAATTTTTTAATAATAAAAATACTTCATCCTCCCGGCAGGGTTTGAACTCACCACTTTGATATTCTGAACCAAGCGACTGAACTCGCCAGGATTATTTTTTTCCCTTTATTGCGAACTATCCAGGATTACTGTTTGGCAAGAATAATTATTTACACGTTTATATATGAGGCTATTGTACAATATATACGCGTACGATTGAACAAACGAACGGTCACATATATATCACACTCTGTACTCAATACGTTTGGGGCACCATACTCTGTGAAGGCAGTCACTTTCAATTCACACAATACTTTACGACACCTCAACTGAGAAGCTGTTCAGGACCAGTGGTACGGACCACTTAGAGCCACCAAATCAGCTGCGCTTAGAGTATCGGGCGGCGCATACAACATTGTTGTATGCGCCGCCAACTTGGATCGTTTGCATGCCGAGGAGACGCAACTGCCGATTGTCATGATTCAAAAGGGCGATTCGGTGTTAGGAAGGTCATGTAATATTGCTTTGTGCTGTTGCGAACTGTTTAGACATTTGTGGAGGACGGAAAAGCGTTTCTTGTGATTTCAGAGAAAGCTTCAGATAACTGGCGACCATGATTTTAAGACGCAATATGGCCAAGTGTCGTTACTCTGAAGCGTAGCTTATTTAGTGGCACTCCACTCATGAGCGAGCTAATGGACTTCTTCCAAAACCGACGCGCCCCATCGCGGCGAAATACCACGCAGTGCACTCTGGGAACTAGTTGGCCGCTCAGTTTCGGTTTCGACTGAGCAGCTTCATCTCATGCTTTCACGCCGGGACCGAGCGCGCTGCTTGCGTTTTCGATTATCTGACTTTTCACGAACGTACAATACACTCATTCTCGAGCGATACAAAACGAAGACCGGGGTACTTTTCTTGGTTCCCGAAACATCGGATATTATGAGTGCGTATGCAAACGTAGTAAGACGTGGCTTAGTCACCTCACCCCACGAGTGCATCTTTGAGTTCAATTTCAATAATCCCGTCTAGTACCAGTGAACTAGAACTGAAATTTGTTCATCTGGAGCCTTTCACCTATTTTGTTTGCCAAACGTCCGCTTCTTGTTACTTCATTGGGCAAAAAGCAAGTCGCATTCTCACAGGAGTATCAAAGTTGAGCCCAGCGTTGACGGATGAACTTTTAAGGAAACGCAATAAATTCGACCTCACTACTGCACAAAAGTTACTATGATGTCTTCCTCGTGTCATCATATATCTCCCACTCAAATTGTATGCTGATAGAAGATTAACTTTTCGCAAACGCTGAGATCGGCTAGCTACGACGGAGGCCCTAACAAACGTCCCCTACTCCTCGCTAAGCCTTTTTGGACGAGCTTTTACTGACGCCCAAGATCTGTGCCTGAACGGTGTGTTTGAAATTATCTCGACATACTGAGGCAGGAAGAAAGCAAACGCATAACAAATATTATGGCCATTAGCAACCGTCAAACGCGCTTTGAATAATCTCGTTCGTTTGGCGCACCGCATAGGGGTTCATGCCCGTCTGGCGCAGTCCCGGCGAACGGTGCGACATTCTTCACACAAGTTCTCGATTTTTGCTTTCTAAAAACGGTCTGTATGTGCGAATGTGCCTATATGATTGCAGGATAACTTTATGCGCACACGCCATGTTGAACATTAGTGGAATGCAAGCGGGTGGGGACCTCACTTCGTGCAGTGCTGCGAGTCAGTACAGATAAGAGATAAGAAATGTGCTAAAATTGAGCTTTTCAATGGCGCCTCCGAGTTTTACCTCGCGTACTCAGGCGTATTAAGAAAAACAGTAATTGCAAAAAGGGACATTTCGTCTATGGACGCACCAAACAAACAAACTTCCCGATCAACAACACTAATGTAAAGGCGCGAGCTCGATGCATGCATACTTATTGGTTGCTATACTTGTTGATTCGTAAACAAGCAAGATCCCCGAGCTTCGCAGCGTCGAGATTCCCAGCACTGGCTCGTCCATATACCTCGATTGGAACGCTAACAGAAAGGCTCAAGTACAAAAATACAACAAGCATAACTTAAGACAAGCTACACGTCTCGGGCTTGTCTAAAGCTTCGAGGTCTGGCCATTTAGGTTAGTTTAGAGACCACAAATGACGCTCTCGGGACCAGAAAACATGAGATAACGGCCGTTAATAGTCCACGCTCTGTGTATAATCTCTTGTCGACGTGTCGATCGAAACCGAAACCATGCCACCCTCCTCCCTGGCTGGCCAACTAGTTCCCAGAGTGCAACGCGCGCCGTGTTGCATGTAGGGCTTTATGGAAGTAGTCACGGCGCGTGAAGGAGCCCGCGAGCCTCGCGACTTTTTCCAGTCATGTAGCGCCATCTCACGGCGTGTGGCAGAAATAAAATGCATATCTTCGAAAGGCGGTGCCGTTCAGATTTTATTTTCGTCATTCTTGTCCAGCTCGCTTGCCCCTTTGCATTTAATTGCATTATAATTATCCGTTCAGATGCCTTTCTGTTTTCTTCTGCTAGGCGCCTGTCGCACATTCTATAAAATATAGGCTACTAGAGCGGACATAGAGGTATTTCAGAATATATGCACACATGACTTGGAATCTGCTGCATCCATCCTTCGACGAAGTAGCATTGGAGTCTAAAACTGTCACGCCCAATATTCACGATATTCGGGCTACGCAAAACTTACAGATTTAGGACATGCACACCTGTCACAACAAGCTACAACTATTTATAATTGCTGCAGTTGTTATGAGAGTGAAGTGCCGGTCTACTGATTTCCCTTCGACGGTTTGAAATTCCGCGGATGTTTGGGGATTTTCGGTCCAGTCTAACAAAGTGATACTAATTCGTATGAGTGCCCCCCTGCCCGAGTATTTATTGGGAATTGGGAGATGACTGACATTTCGGCTACAAACGTAAGGGCACTGGGCGATCTAGTCTATTGATTTGTAGAAAAATACTATTCGTTGGTTTCAGTAAAACATCTTGCAAATCGAAACGACTCGTCACTTAGGCATTAAGGCCAGTTCAGACACTAGTGACAGCTCACGGCCATGTGCCTTAAGACCTCTTAAAATCTCCTGTGACAAAAAAAAAAACAAAAAAAAAAAACACTGGCGTATACGCCAGTGTGTTTCACAGCCACCCCATTAAATCTCGCTGTGAAGAGAAAACAAACTGTAGCTATAGCTACAATGTGTTTTCTCTTCACAGGGAGGTTTAATAGGGTGGCTGTGAAACACTTTAACTGTTGTATAATAATTTTTTTTGTAATTTTTTGGCAATGTTAAAAAGGTTATTTCTCATAGATAGTACGTACATTTAATCACGCATATACCGCATAACCTTCACTCTAGTCATATGCAGTTCCAGGGTAAGCTCGTATATGGCACCAGCGTGCCAGTGGGTTCTCACATTTTAAGAGATCACGAGAGCCCGGCCCTAAGTAAACGCAGGTTTGTGAACTAAAAATGAATATTAAAAACGCCAGAGACAGCCTTGTTACTTACCATCCAGCACTTGAGTTGGTAGTGACGTGGTTTTAGCGCTAGACGCGTTACACAGTAGCGCGATGCACAAGGTCGATGCTATGAACGCTGCTCCGGTAGTACCCATGGTTAGAGGATAGACGGTCGGCGTATTTGCGCTTGATGCCGGTGTGACGTGTACTCTCCCACCTGACATCGCATAGCCCTTTTGTAGGGGTTTATCACCTTATCGCGAGGGCGGTCAGGTCGACGAATCTAGTTAATCATTCAGGGTCGAGGTCATTATACACTCAATTTATCTTTCGCGACTGGAGGGCAACGTTACAAAAACGTCTGCGGCAAGTCCGTGCTCAATACGCACCACGTGACGCATTCTTGGATAGATGAACAAGCTCCCTTTGTTGGGCAGCCATTTAATACGTAACAAAAAATATAATTCTAAAGATGAAATCGACTCCATAACGAGTTTTAACCAATAGTTGCATGTGCTATTCGATTCCACGTACCCTCACACGTGCGATAGCCGTCGATGATTTCTGTTTTATTATGTAGTCCGATTTGAATATTGAACGAAGAAGGAATGTCACGAGTGCCGCCGAGAGCATTGCGTAGGAACAGGGCGCATGAAAGCACCGTAGTTTCAGTTTGTGTAACACTTGCGTAGCAACTCGACGGGAATATTAGACGCATTAAATGAACATTCCCCTGGCCTTTCAATCGGTGTTGGGCAAGGTACATCTGAAACTACTTCGAGTAAAGTACTAATTAAATGAGAGGTTATGTACTCCAAGTAAAAAGAGTAAGGTACACCGGGCGGAATACAACTGCAATAAAGTACTATAAACACAATGAACTTTCAAAGTAAAGTACAAGTACTTTTTAACACAATCTTTCATGATGCCCTTTCATTCTCCTATACAACGTCTTTTTAAAGAAAACTCGTATGAGGGCTCTTCATCCTCGATTACCCTAGAGGTAATAATAATAACAATAATACTTTTATTTTCAACAATGAGGTACAGTGTTGATGGGGGCTTGGGAAAAAAGCTGTTAGAACAGCTTGACCGGTCCCGAGCCCCCAGAAGTGTAACAGAAGCGAAAAAAAAAGAACTCAGAAAAATCATATTAAACATCAACAAGATGTTCAAAACAGAAAAGTCACAGTAGCGATTGTATTGGCATAAGAAAATATGACCACATAAACATGCCACTCAAATTTGATCGGTTTGGCCTTGAATTATTATGTTCCTTAGGTTACCAGCCGACCTACTTTAAAGTTCTATGCGCTACGCACAAAAATAGTTGAAGGCGGTTGGCAGGGTAAACGCCGCGGTTTGAAGACCGCAATTTGTTTAAAAAAAGGGACTTCCCAGGGTTGTGCGATTCTCGTTGGATAGGCATATACTTTTTTTTTTGTTTTAAGTAAGCTAAGCTTGCAAGATGTCGTGCATTCATACTAATTTCAGCTTTATATTTAACACACGGGCGGTATCGATGCAAGTTGAATTTTTACTACATCGAGCTGGCTAACGAATTTTTTCGTTGGAAATTCCGGTGAAACATTGCAAATGCTTCGTAGTATCTTTTTTTGTAATGAAAATATATCATGTTTTTGACGATACGCCAGGCCGACAATGCTAGGCAGTTTTGATGTAACATAATTTACATGAGCATCCTAGGACATGTTCTCTGAAAAAAAAAAAGACACCTAAATTTTTAAAATCCGGTACCACTTGAATTGTATAAGAACTGAACATAATATTCTCGTCTATGTTAACAATTTTACCCTTCGGACGAGACAAAACAGCCTTGGTCTTATATTCACGTTTATTTTTAAACCATCATACCTACTCCATGTATTCAGCTTTCCTAGCGTGACGTTTGCGTTTTCAATGACTTCTGTGGGGCTGTCTCCATTAAACAGCATGCCCGTGTCGTCTGCGTAGATAATAAATTTCGTTGATTTACTTATATTTGCGATATAATTTATATAAAGTTTAAATAAAAAAGTACCCAATATGCTTCCTCGTGGAACGCCTGATTCAACTGGCTTGACATCGAACAATTAACCAGTGATGTCGACATACTGCTGACGAAAAGACAAGCAGGAATGAATAAGAAGTGATACTTGGCCCCGATAACCATATATTTTGAGTTTTTTCATTAGAAGGCTTTGATCGAGAAAATTAAAGGCCTTCGTAAAGTCAATGAATAAGCCGAGAAATAGTTTATTATTTTCAAAGCCTCTAAGTGTATGTTCTTTTTGAGTGAGAACAGCGAGTTCAGTAGGACGTTGTTTGCGGAAACTGGAACTGAGATGGGGTGATTAAGTTATGACTATCTGCAAATATTGACATTCGAAGGAGCAGAATTTTTTCTAGACCTTTAAAAAACACTGGCAAAATTAAAATCGGTCTATAATTACCAAGATCATTTTTATCTTCCTGCTTATCTTTGACTGATAAACTCTTGCTAACAGCATTCGTTTTGGAAATATGCCGTTTTGAAAGCAAAGATTGAAGATATAGGTGAGGCAAGCGTAGATAAGATCAATTACGTGTTTAACGTGCTTCATATGTATACCATCGGGGTCACGGCTTTTACTGTCATTTAATGAATGAAATGTAGATGATACCTCCGTGTTCAGTTCAGTTCAGTAACCGGGCTAAGAAAGAACAACGAACAATTCCTAAACTGTATATATCTTGCATGCACCATCCTCGGGGCTTTCATTACCTAGGTTAACAAAATATTCATTGAACTTGTTCGCCAGTTCCTTTCCGGCTAGTTGCTGACCATTGTAGGATACATTTACCCAGTGCTTTGGACTGTCCATACATTTCAACACGGAATTAAGCTTTTCCATATGATATATCGGCTCTGTTTACACATGCTAGAAAGAAGTCACAAAAATACTTTCATTTAGCATTACGGAGCTCTTTGTTTAATTGGTTTCGATAATGTTTAAATGCACTAGGTTTATTCATATCTTTTTTTTTATAAATTTTCGATAAAGAGCGTTATTTGTACGTATTTTCGCTAGTAATTCTTTCGTAATCCAGGGTTTACGTGCTTTTCTGGACAAAGGTATTGATTTTTATGGAAAACAACTTCGATAGAGCTTTTGAAATATGATCGAGAAAATAATATACGCTTTCTCTGCGTCTGTTTTGAGAAGAACATCGCTCCAATAAAATTAAATAGTCTTTGTCTAAAATCGCTTAGACTCTCCGGCGTAATATTCTGATATGTTCGGCAGCAGTTTCTTTAGTTTTTTTTAATATGCGTTTTTATACACATGTAAATACCTAATGATCACTGATGTCAGTTACTGTTCCGCCGGATCTAGTTTGCGAGTCGTCTAAGTTTCTAATAAATCATTCAAGTAAAGTCGATGACTCGGCAGTGATCCTTGTAGCCGAAGAAATTACGTTCAAGGGTGCATCATTTTTTTTTTTCAGAAATGGCGACGAATATTTGGTAAAGTCAAATAGCCGCAGAGTTTTATTCTCATTGGCAAACTATTTAACAAATCAACTTGTGAGGCACTTATTTGTTGACAAATCATAATTTTTATACAGATTTAACACGACCATGTTTATGGTATGCACTTTGAAGTCGGAAGTTTTTCTTTCTTTGGAAAGTAGCAGAAAATATACTTTAAATAAATGAAAGTACATACTCAAACAGTGTACTTCGAGTGAAGTACAAGTTTTCCAAACTTACCTAAAATAGTGCTTAAAGCATAATGCACTTGAAGTACTCCCCAACATTGATTTCAACCACGGGTCAGGCTAGTATGATTGATTGAAAACACGTTTATTGACCTTATATTGCGCGGAGCGCGCTGCGGAGGTCAGTTAGAAGGAAGATAAGGGATTAGGAAGCGGGGGCCAAAGAAGAGGAGAGGAGGAGGAGGGCAAAATCTCATGGCTTCAAGGCCTTCGTCGACGAGGGAGGGGGAGGCCGTATCCTCTTGGCTGTAGCCGGAAGGAGCCGGTCCCCCACTGGAGGCGCAGTTGGGTCTTTTATGAAGGCGAGTAGTGCCTCCCAGAGCTCCAAAGCATGCTTGGGGGATATGGTGGTGTCTGGACATGCCCAGGCGTTCAGGGATGCGGGTACTGGGGCGTTTGTGATGAGGTCCAAAGCCTGTTGTCGTGGAATATCATACAAAGGGCAAGACCACATGAGATGAACCAGGTCTGCCTTAGAATTGCAGTTCTTGCAGATGCCAGAGGCTGTGGAAGGTCCCGCCCCGTCGTTCCCGCGAAACCGCTGTAAGAGATGCGGTGTCAGTAGGGTCCCTGTCTGAATTTGCCGAATCATGACGGCTTCCCTACGAGAGAAATGTTGGGAGGGAATCTTAGGGATGGATAGCGGGTTGGCGGCCATGGAGAGGTAGGTGGCTCGCTGGGCTTTCGTAGAGCGCAAGTCGTGCCAAGGGTTGGCAATCTCCTGTGAGGGGTTGCCTAGAGATGAGGAAGAGGAGGGTCCCTTGGCCAGCGCGGAGAGGAGGTGTGCGCGCGCTAGCCTGTGGGCTTTCTCATTACCGGGTATGCCACAGTGGGCAGGGACCCATCGTATGATGAATTGATGGCCGGACGCTCTCAGAGATGAGACGGCCACCTTGAGCTCGTGTAAGGTAGGTCCGGTATATTTGGTGTCCGAGCATATGTGGTGTGCCGCTTGCGAGTCAGTATAAATGATGTGCGTGACTGGTGCGTCTTCCTTTGCCGTAAGGAGTGCGTCGCTCGCATAGTCCGTGGTGGCTTGAAGCTCCGCTTGGGTGCTGAACGGGGGCGTAGCCGTTGTGTGCAGGTATCGTGCCTGTGCTTCTGTGTTACAATTGTACCACGCCGTGGCGTAGACAGCGCATTTGTGATCAGCTGGCAGGGATGCATCGACGTAGATCACGTGGGTGCAATCGTCAAGCGAGCGAATGTACTTTAAGTGCCGTCTCTTGAGAGGGAGGCGCCTGCCGGTGCTCTGTATCCGCTGAGGTAGAGGAGTCCCGTCGGTGAGGACAATGTGTTCCCACGGCGGGGTCTGTTGTGGGAGTTCGGGCAGATCGTGCACGGCGTAGGCCGGCTGGTGTTGTGCGAAGCCGTGCCTCCTGGATGTTGTAGTGCGCGGATACGAGTTCGCTGAGATCGTTAATGCCCCCGCAACTCTTGAGCGCGTCTA